GAAGATTCTGAAGTTACTACAGTTACTACAGTTACTACTGAAGTTACTGAAATTACAGAAACTACTGAATATGATAATGATATTGAAATGACTGAAGAAGATGATGAAGAATATGAAGATGATGAAGAATATGAAGATAATGAAGATGAAGAAGAAGTTACTACAGTTACTACAATAACTACTGAAATTACAGAAACTACTGAATATGATAATGAAGATGATGAAGATGATGAAGATGATGATGAAGAAAGTACACAGAATTAAATATTTTTTTATTTTTTACAAAAAATAAAAAAATTGAAAAATGAGTTAAATAATTTTCTTGTGTATATAAAAATAGGGGAAGACGAAGAAAAAAAAAAAAATAAAAATAATGTTATTAAAATATTAAAAGCAATTAATCGCGCTATAGAAAATGGTAACCTTGAACAAGTAAAATATTTGCATAAATTAAAGTATTATTATGAAGAATTAGCAATTAATTATGCTACTGAAAATTATGACTTTGAATTAGAGCAACAATTATATAAATTTAAGTATAAATATGAAAAATGTGCAATTAGTTCTGCTGCTATAAACGGTCACTTTGAAGTAGTAAAATATTTACTTGAAATTGGATATAAAGTTGATAAATTAGCAATTAGTTATGCTGCTATAAATAACCACTTTGAAATATTAAAATATTTACATGAATTAGGGTATGAATGTTATGATTGGACAATTGATTGTGTTGCTAAAAATGGTCACCTTGAAATATTAAAATATTTACATGAATTAGGATATAAAGGTACAGAAGATGCAATAGATAAAGCTGCTCGAAATGGTCACCTTGAAATGTTAAAATATTTACATGAATTAGGGTATAAATGTGACAAATGGACAATTTATATTGCAAAAGAAAATGGTCACCTTGAAGTAATTAAATATTTACATGAATTAGGATATAAAGAAAAGTCACGTGACCTGTGACGTCATGCAAGAATTTTTCGTAATATTTTGTAACAAGAAATAAAAAAATTGAAAATGAATTAAATAATTTTCTTGTGTATATAAAAAAGAATGAATCAAGAAAATAATATTGAAAATAATAATTTTTTAATAAAACCTTCAACTCAAATATATTATATTACTACAATATTAAAAAACTATGGGTATAAAAAAGGTAATAAGGTTGATTTTGCTGTAAGTATAGGTAAACTTGATTTAATTAAATTATTATTTCAAATAGGAGAAAAAGGTGACCTTAAAGTATTAAAATATTTACGTTCTATTGGATATAGAGGAACAGAATTAACAATTGCTTATGCAATAGATAATGCTGCAATAAATGGTCATCTTGAAATATTAAAATATTTACATTCTATTGGATATAAAGGAGAAGAATGGACAATTAATTATGCTGCAGAAAATGGTCACCTTGAAGTATTAAAATATTTACGTTCACTGGGATATAGAGTAACAGAATGGACAATTAGTTCTGCTGCTAAAAGTGGAAATTTAGATATGATTAAATATTTACATTCATTAGGTTATAAAGGAAGAAAATATACAGTTTATTTTGCTGCAATGAATGATCACCTTGAAGTTGTAAAATATTTAATTGAATTAGGATATGAATGTGATGAATGGATAATTAATGATGCTGAACGTAAAGGAAAAAATGCTGAACAACTTCTTAAAGTATTAATAGATTTACATTCTATTGGATATAAAGGTACGGAAAAAGCAATTTTTCATGCTAAATTAGCTGGTTACCGTGAAGCACTTGAATATTTATTTTCTATTGGATATATATACAGTTGATAACGCTTTTAGAAACAGCAAGAAAATCACATGACCTATGACGTCATGCAAGAATTTTTCGTAATATTTCATAACAAGAAATAAAAATTAACACTTATTTTAAAAAATCAATTTTTTTTAAAATAAAAAATTATTTCTTGTTGAAATAAATTATATACAATATGGTTAACATTGAACCCTATATTAATATTAATTTATGGTTGAAAATAGGGTTGAAAATGAAAATATTCTATTAACCGGCAATCTCTTACTACTATACCTAATGATGCTGATCACAATAGATCAGCGAAATATATTCTTTCAAAAAGGTTTATACGCAGCCAATTTTATTGAATTTTAATTACATTATAAAGTATAACAAAAATATGACTTTCAAAGATTATATATATATATATATATATATATATATATATATATATATATATATATATATATATATATATATATATATATATATATATATATACATATAATGTATGGATAATATATTATACATATATATGTATAATACATGTTTATGTATACATATATATTATATATTATAATATATAATATATATGAATACATAAAGATAATATATATACAAAAAGATATGGATTTCAATAAACCTTAAAGTAAAATATAATAATTTTGAAATAATCTTGAAAACTTTCATATAATTGGTTTAATTTTGATTTATTAATTTATTGTTAAACTAATGAGTTGAATTGCAGAGGAAGGTAAAATATAATAAGAAAAAATTCCAAAAATAATAAATATCCCCTCCCATTTATTAAAGGGATTCCAAACCTCCGAGACATGTTGTGTTCATATTAAAGAGAATGATAAAAAATGTTTGGGCTAAAATTTTTTGATTAAAAGAAAAGAATAAATGAATACCAAGAAAAACTAACTTTTTTATTTTAGTCGAAGCTCGCTTTCTCCATTTTATTGTAGGCCTAAAAATCAGCATAATATACGCCGCAATCTACAGACTTAATAACTTATTTAAGTACATTTAAACAAAAAGTTTTAGTAAGCACCTGTATGTTAAAAGTATGTTGTTATTTTTTACCATGAGAATTAAGTATTTAGATTTGATTTTATTTAGTTATTTAAATATCAGTAGTTTATTAACCCCTTAACTGTGGCATAGATTTAGAAATTACATTCTCTATTACGGCAAAATATATTAGTTTAGGATTATTTTAAGTCGTAAACTTTTTTTTTGTATTGTGTGCAAAAAATTCTAAAGGTTTTAGTGAAGAAAAAAAAAGTTTCACTAGCTATTATCCATCAGACACAAAGAAAGCTATACCTTGCAGTGACAGATATATCCATCAGACACAGTTATGGGGTTAAAGTTTCTTATTTTTGTCTTCACTTTAAAGTAAGAGTAAGTAATTTTATAAAAAAAATATCACAAGATTTTTTATTTATTATTAACAGTATTTATACTAATGGTAATATGCTTCATGATAATAGTGAAACTGAAATGAATCATATTGGGCTTGAAGAAGTTGTTAGGGTAAATGCTAATAGACAATCTGAAGATAATCGTCAAAATGAAAGAAATAGATTAAGGCAAAATTAAATTAGCTGTTGTCAAAATGTAAGAAATGCTGCTTGGCGAGCAGAAATTAATTTGAACCCTGATGAGGATAATGTGGTTAGGGTAGTTAATAATAACCATCGACAAAATTAAAGAGATGGAGCTAAACGAGATGAAATTAAATAAAAATGTAAGAAATGCTGCTCGGCAAGCAGTAATTAATTTAAACCCTTATAAAGATAATGTGTTTAGACAACTTAATAACTGTCGCTGAATCAAGAGAAATGAAGCTAAGCAAGATGAAATAATCATGAAATTATTCTACAAAGTGTATGAAATGAGAAACAAAGACAAGGAGACAAGTAACATTGTATTATAAGAAGTAATAATAATCCAGATTATAATTTTTAAGGAGAATTAATCCAGATCTGTCAGCATTGCGGTACAAAAAAGTCTCCTGATGAAACATATTCTCTGTTGCCATAATGGAAATGTAGTTGTAAATGTAAAGGCCTCCTTTTTCATCACTTTTTTAAGCTTTACAAGATTTATATAGATTTATATAGATATGGATATCCCTTATGGAAATTTTCCATGGAATTCCATGGGAAATCCCATGGGTGAACCATGGTTTTCCCGTAGAAATCGAAATCTCATGGGATTACCATGGGTAAAATCATGGCTTTTTTTCATAGCTCATATTGCACCATGGGTTTTAGAAGTGCGCGATTAATAATGCCGACGTAACTTGTTTCTATCATTTATAACTTGACCAAATATAATTTTATGCATTTGTTTTAAGTTGGTTGATTAATGTATAAATCTTTATACTTTTACTTTATTATTTTATTTAAATTACTACATTATAACCAGACAGTTTTGATTGGTGATATAAATTATGTTGTTCATTTATATTATTTGTTATATTGTCAGTTTTTATTTGCATTTAATATTTTTAAAGATAATTCATAAGCTGTCTAATTAAAATGGCGAATTGTGTACAAATTAACCATAAAAGATATAAGCATTATCTTTGGTATGCAACTTATAATGATATTCCAAGAACAACAAAGTGGAGAAGGAAAACAATGGTAATGTTTTAAAAATATTATAAAGAAAGGTTAATAATCAAGATTTTACTTTACAATTAAATGTAAACATATAAAAGCAACGTTTATAAACAATACATTATTATTTATTTATAATCATTTTTATTTTTTATTTTTTTTTATCTAAGGTAAAAATAAATTTTATTATGCACACACTTTTTTATTTATTATTTTTTTACATTACTATACTTAATAAATTATGTATTTATTATATTTATTATGTTTTAAATAGTAAAGTAAAAATATAATAAATTTTCGAATGTAATAGTGTATGTATAAGTCTCTTTATTTTAACTTTATCATTTCATTTAAATTACTGCATTAGTAAGCAGGCAGGTTTTAATGGCAGTAGAAATAATGCTTTAGATCCTTTAGATAGTTTAGACAAAGAAGTAAGCTTTTCTCAAATAACAATTTATGAGTAATATATATTTTTTGTGCCTCATTATAGATTAATGTAACCAAAATGCAGTTAACATTTATATATGTGAATAAATCTTTTCATTTTAACTTTATCATTTTATCTAAATTACTACATTATCAGCAGGCAGCTTTAACTGGCAATGTAAATGATTATGTACATCATGCAGAGAGCTCAGATGAAGAAGTAAGTTTTTTTAATTACAATTTAAAAGTAATACTTTAATTGTTCTATGCAAGTGTTACTGACAAGCAAGTAAGATTTATATATGTAATAATTTGTGCATAAATCTTTTTATTTTAACTTTATTATATTATTTAATTTACTACCTTATAAGCAGGAAATTCTGTCTGACAATATAAATGATGTTTTGCACTATGCAGATAGCTCGGGTGAAGAAGAGGTAAGAATCTTATAACTATTATTTATAAATGATGATATAATAATTGCTACTTTTTTCTATATTAAGGTTACCCACATGATGGCAACATTTATATAGAACGTCCGAAAAGTTGTGCGGATGCCTAATTTTAAAGTAAGTTATAACAGATAATAATTATAAGTATAAATAAATTAGTATATAAAGTTGATTAGTATGTGTATATTAATTTTATCTAGATTGGTGAAGCAGACAATGATATTAATTTTGATGAAAACAGTAATGAATATAATGTCAACGATAATTTATTTAACAATCTTTTGTATGAAGAAAAAATTCTACCTGATTCTGCAATTACAGTTGGCGGTGCAATCGCACTTATAATGGCCTTTGTTTTACGGCATAGCCTGACAAAACTTGCTTTGAATGATTTGCTTAGCTTATTGCATTTTTTTATACCTCATTTATTGTTACCAAAAATTAGGTATTTGTTTAATAAAATATTTAGTGTTTTTTCAAGACAAATTGGAACAACATTTCTATTGTAATAAATGTTCTACATGTACATATTTGGGTACCACTATAAGTGATTTTGATGTTTGTCCAGTGTGTGAAGTTGATGAACAAAGTAGTTTGAACAGAGATTTTTTTCTTGTGCTGCTACTTGAACATCAGTTACGTGAAATGTTAGAAAATAGTAATTTTTTTGATCTTATTCAGTATCGTTTTGATTGTGTTAAAAATAATGCAGACAACATTGAGGACATTTATAATGGATTTTTATATAAATCTATTCAAGAGTTGCAACAGACAATAAATATGTCATTAACATGGAATTATGATGGAGTAAGTGCTTTCAGGTCATATATAAAAAGTATTTGACCTTCGCAATGTGTAATTAAGGAGTTGCCTTTTAACATTCGAAGGAAGCATGTGTTGTTAACTGGTTTATGGTTTGGTGCTAAGCCTAAAATAAATACGTTTTTAAAGGTGTTTGTAGAGGAATGTTCAAAATTAGCAAGTACAGGTTTTTTTGTGGTTTAGTGAGGCTCAGAATAAAAATATAGTAAGCAAGGTTTATTGTTTAGTATGTTCTTGTGATTCTTCTGCAAGATGTATTTTGCAAAATATTAAACAATTTAATGGAAAATATGGATGTTCGTGGTGTTTAAACCCAAGTATTGCAATTAGTAACAGTAATGGTGGACCTCCAAAATGTGTTTTTGATAATTATATCCAAGCAGAACTTTAAATGGATTTGTTGATGATGTGAGGTATCTTGTAGAAAATGGATAAATAAGAAATGGTGTAAAGGGTGCCAGTCTATTGTTACTGATTCCTTATTTTAATATAATTGATAGATTTGTTGTGGATTACATGCATTGCATTTTGCTAGGAGTTGCAAAACAGATGAGCGTCTTGTGGCTTGAAAAGACCAATGAGCCATGGTATATTGGAAATAAAATTAACAGTATAAATCAAATGATGTTAAAAATAAAACCAGCTAGTAATATTACGAAAGCACCAAGATCTTTTCATGAAAGAGCACATTGGAAAGCCTCAGAATGGCGTAACTGGTTGTTATTTTATTCTTTATTTGTTTTACATGGTGTTTTACCACAACTTTATTATAACCATTTTTTGTTACTAGTGAAAAGTATTTACATATTTCTAAGCAAAAGTCTTAGTCATGCAGACCTAGATCAAGCTGAAAAACAATTGCATGTGTTTGTGTCTAATTTTAGTGTTATATATGCCATTGATTATATGACTTACAATATTCATATTTCTTCTACTGTTTGTGAGTGGGGTCCATTATGGGGCATTTCTAACTTTATGTTTGAAAACAGTAATGGTTTTTTGTTGGACCTTTTTAAAGGTACACAAAGTGTACCACTTATACCACAGACCACAGATATGTTGAACTAACAGATATACAAAAATTTGCCAATTATAGGTGCTAAATATTTAAATACTGTGCCAGAATTCGTAATAAAGTTTTTTGGTCAATGTTTATCTAGAACAAATACATCAGGAAAAGCTATTTGCATTACAGAAAATGTAAAACTCTTTGGTGCACCAAAGTATAAGTTTCTAACCAATGCTGAAAAACGAGCTTTAAAGACTATTTTGCCAATGTAGTTCCAGATCAGTTAGCTTTTTTTGAAAGAGCAGTTGTCAATTGCCAAATGGTGCAAAGTCAGCAGTATGTAAGGAGTTGTAGTAGAATTAATTACTGCGTAGTTGTAAGAGATAATATACTGTGTCTTGTTAGCTCATTTGTTATTGTTAACAATGAGTGTTACGTATTCTTGATTAAACTCACTACAGGGAGACGTGCATTTCCATCTCATAATGCTATACAAGACATTATCACAACTACTAGTTCTAACAGTAATACTTTGGTTGCCATGCTTGCTAATGAAATTCAGCAAAAGCGTTTATTTTTACCTTTAAATGTATTTTCTCTTGTAACATCATATGTGTGCTTTCTGCCCAATCAATGGGAAATCGACAAATTAGTTCTTTGCATTTGGTTTAATCTGCTTGTATAAATCTGTTGTTTTATTTATTTGAATGTTAATTATCTTAGTTTTTATTATGCATCATGTATTTTATTTTAGCTTTTTTTAGTATTATTTAAAAGTTTAAGGTTTGTTGAATTTATAACTATGTTTGTTATAACTATTTTAATTTTTTGTTTTCATTATTATTGTATTTTTTATAATCTACCAATTTCTCTATAATCGTTTTTCTTTAATTATTAAATCTTTTATAGATATTAATAGTATAAATAATATTGATATCATATACTTGCATTCAGTAATGTATATTATTTTGCACAGTGCTGTGCCAGACAGTTATTGCCCTAACAACCCGCACCTCCTGGTTAGTTTTGGGCCCTACATTATGAGTTAAAAATTTGAGAAACCAAAAAAAACACCTATTTCATAATTTTAGTTTTCTCAAAATCTTTTTCTCAAATATCTCGAAAATTTCTGGCAGCTCTAGGCATTGCACTCATTTCGCTCTAGATATCTGGGACCCTATATATTCAGATAAAATATTAGACTTTTATAAATGAACAAATTAATGTTTGAGCCTGAATTATATTGAAAATTTAACCTTAGAATAGGAGAATTTTAGTTATTAGTTATTTATACATTTCAAATTAAGACATTTGTAAAAATTATTTGTGCATCATTTTTTTTAATGGCTTTACTAAACGTTATATTTTTATGCGATTGTTCAATCCGTTACTTCATGTATTACAAGTTTTGTATTTCCTGCTTTGTTTTGTAGCGTATGTTCATAAACAATTTCCTGGAGCCCATAACAGGATGATAAAGCAGTCAATGACTGAAAAGCTGCAAGATATAGGGAAAACCAAAAGGCATCAAATGAAAGGCAATATTGTGGATGAAAATGAACCAGAGGATACCTTTTTGTAAAAAACTTTTTCATTAATGTTTTTCAACAAGATTTAAATTTTACTTCGTTTATTGATTTTATTCTGCAAAGGCGATCCCATTGATTAAGAGAACTCAATAATATTAAAAAGTTGCGTGATAAAATTTGCGTTTTATGGTATATAAGGCAATTAAAATTACATTAGATTTCAAATGATCTGAAAACAAAACATACTTTTTCCATGGAAAATTCATGGTTTTTCCATAGAAAAACTCATGGTTTTTCCATGAGAATGTGTTCCAAATACCCATGGTTTTTCCATGGGTTTTTTCCAAAATTCCCATGGGAAATTTTCGTACGTGATTGGAGTTATATAGATCATAATTCCAATATGAATTTTTTTAATATATTAGAAATTATAATGCATGTCTTTTTTTTGCTTCATTTACAGATGTGGTTTAAACAAGGAATCATGGGTCTACCTGTTTTAGAATATGTATACTAATATATAAATATAAAATATGAAAATAAAAAGATAATATTTACTAAAAAATCTCACTTCATCAAAATCAGAAATAATTTCATTAAGAACCCTCATGCATTCAATGCCTCCTTGATTAAAACTTTCTTCAGTGTAAAAGTTTGAGAAATTTGGTATGGATGCAAAAATGACACCTACATTGCTATAAGAACGACTATACAACTCCTAAAATTTAAAAGTTTAAAGTAATAAAAACTTACAAAATGTTTTACGTTCAAAAAATTTTATACAAAAATATAATCCTTATATCTATAAACTATATAGTTTTACTGTTTCATCTGCATTGCTGGTCTTTAAGAAATGTTGAATAACATGAGATGGCAAAATGTTTTGCATAAGTATTTGATTCCTAGATCTTATGTTTTCCACTTGCTCTTGCTTGTCATATGCCTAGATATTTTCAATTAAAATAAAATGTTAAAATTTAAATTAAATATTAAAATAATTTATTTAAACTAAAAACTGTTTTAAAAAAACTTACTTCTTTTTTCCATAACATTAAAACTCTTAAAGATAATTCGGACTAGTATAAAAAGTTTTTTCATATATACGCATGATATAATTTTAAATGCATTAATATTAGTATCATATAATATTAAATGTTTTAATGAGTATTATATATTATTAAACGTTTTAATAATGTCAAATAATAAATAAATTTAAATAATTATATAAAAAGATATGAAAACAAATTTTAATAATTACCTGTCGAAGATCAAATAGGATAACAAACAAGTATAAGATTAAATGACATACCAAAGACCATTTAACACTGATCACAGAATGCCTATCAAAAATGTAAACAATACAGTTATAAAATTAACTATTTTTCATGAACAAAGAGTATAAAACTAATTTATAGCACCACAAGTAATGATATAGCACAAACAATAATGCAAATTAATTCAACTCTTGATACTTTATAACAAATTAAGTTAAATAATATAAATCAATAAACTTTCTTAACAATTTAAAAGATAAAATTTTTTTTACCACTAGGTAAACCAGAATTGTAACAACAAATATACTTAAGCAGAAACATTTTCATCGCATTTATCACATTTTTATCACACATCAGATTGTTATCATACCACATTCTTTATATATATATATGTATATATATATATATATATATATATATATATATATATATATATATATATATATATATATATATATATATATATATATATATATATATATATATATATATAAAACACATAATACATAAATTTAAAAATTGCATGAAAAAAACGTTGTCCGTTAAAATATTGAAAATTATTTTTTAAATATCTTATCAAGTATTGTTTTAAGAATTTATTTGTGTATTGGTGAATTAATTTTAAACAATTGATCTAAAGATGTAAAAAAAAAGTAATCGTTCAGTTCAAAAATCATATATATATATATATATATATATATATATATATATATATATATATATATATATATATATATATATATATATATATATATATATATATATATATAAACGTGTGTGTGTCAAACTGTGAACCTGTCATGGATACAACTGAACACAAAATAAAACAGCATCTTTTTGGGAGATTTTAAGGATTTAAAAAAAAACAACCTGTAGGTTGTTTATAGGGGGTAGGGGTGTTTATTGGTTTATTTACCAGATGTATATGATGGTACATGTGTATGAATATTTATTGCATACATATTGGTTTATACAATGGTATATGTAAATTTGATACATTTATGTTTAATAAAGAACAGTTTGAAAAAGTATAATCTTAATAATCAACAGAAAATAGTTAGAAATACTCAACATACATTCTTACATAATATTTACTTGCATACAACAATTAAAGATTTGAAACATTAAATATTTATTTACATTGTATGTATTTAAATCAGGGATTCAGAGTCCAAAAAGGACTCCAGCTTTATATCTCCATTTTTTTCAGGTCTTTAGTGTCTAAGCAGATCACAAGTTTGTTAACTTATGATCTGCTATAAGAAAAAAATTCATGAGATTTAATGACTTGAAACTTATTGTTTTTAAACCCGGAGTCCTGCTATTATACCTAAGGACTCCAGGTTAAAAAATAATTGTTCCTCTTACCTAAAAGTCTTATTTTTTTTACTTTTAGTAGTCTATAAACTTTTTTTACATTTTTAAAGCTTCTGGATACCAAAAACTAGTAATTTTTTTGTGACTTTAAAATTCGGAGTCTTTTTTGGGACTCAGCATCCCTGATTTAAATATTGTCATCAAGTACATACTCTTGATTTTTTGAAGAATTTTGATTAATTAGATCTTTATACTTAAAAATATTTTTTTCTATCACTTTTCTGATTTATTAAGCTCTTCATTTTCATAAATTTTTCTCTGTGTGATTTGTTCTTCAGTCTTAGTGACTAAAATGCAATATTATAAAAACTTTTAATCATCTTTTTTTTTGGTACACATTTTACCCTTAATTAAATTCTATCTGTTCTTTTTCAATGTTTTAATGCAGGGTATATAAGGGTATACAAAAAACATATATCTCTAATGTCAGGCATATAAAAATGAACTTTGTGACAGTTAGGTCCATTATAACCTCCCTATTATATTCATATCTGGTTACAATTTTACTTAACAAGTAATAATTAGTAAACTCTTTAGTCATTAGGACATCTGTAACCTGGGTTACATATGTAACCTGGGTTATATCTGTAACCTGGCTTACAGATCAAAAAATACTTATATTCCAAAATTCTAAAAAAATAAAAATTAAAACTTATTTACTACTTTAATCAATTTCAAAACTACAAATAAACAAACTTTAAAGACAAGCATTTCTTGGTGTAACTCGTAGTTAACAAATATCTAAAGATTATATTTGTCTGATTAAGTTATTTTGCGTCACCATTGTTGTAAAATATGATAAAATCTTTTTTCATAAAAAATTTTACCCAGGAGTATAAAAATTAGCCGTCATAATTGTTTAAAACTTTATACTTTGATAATTGCAAAATGACTTTGGCCCATCACAATTGTATATTAATTAACTTTCTGAGATCTCTCAGATTTCTGAGAGTCTCTGGATTTTCTTAAAGCATCAACATGTTTATAAACCTGCTTGTTCTTGTACTGCTAACCACCTTCAATTATTAAGACTTGGTCTTAAAATGTTCTTCACAATAACAGCAGAGAAACTTTCTGCCCCTAATTTTAACTTATATTTTAATTAAACTCTAATAAAAGAACTGACTTACTGACACAACACTGTTAATTAACTTAAGATCTGCACATAAACTTCAGTTTATTTAAATTTGTCATATCGAATAATTTACTTGAATTGCATTGAACTCCACATACACTTACCAAAATTTGTACTTTAACATCAGTGAGTTTAAAGTTTTTATAGTCTTCTAAAAACTAAAAATCAAAAATGTTTATCACTATTTCATAAAAAATCTTGACCATCATCTGTTCTCAAAATCTCAAAATTACCCAAAATCTTCTTTATCTTGGTCATGATATAACCTATTGGAGTTTGGAAGATCTGTTACTTTTTTGTCGAATACTGTGCTAGTAGAAAGTGGTGTTTGTTTCAAAAACAAATAAACTGGCATTAAAAAAAGACCTTACTTACAGAAATATTTTTATTTAAATTTACTTCATTATATTCAAAATGAAATTTAATTGTTGCAAGATTTAATGTTTTGCTTTCCTTCTCTCTTTTCTTCTTCTCATTTCCATTAAAACTTTTTGTTAAATCATTAAACCTTTGAACTGTTCAAGATCCAGAGCTGTTTTCAAGACTTTTGCGCAAGTCTTAAGTCAAGTCTCAAGTCACTAAGATCAAGTCCCAAGTCAAATCTCAAGTCATTCAGTGACATGTCAAGTCAAGTCTTAATCAAGTTATATTATGATCAAAGATTCTAGTGCATGTGGGAGCTGTAAGTGCAGTGACTAGAAGTTCGAAAGCCCCTTTCAAAGCCTGTCATAAAGACAACGAAGTTCTTAATAATGCCTCCCACATTAAGGAGTGTAGGGTAGCTTAGCAATGGTTTTGGGAGCTACATTCAAGCAGTCAAGTTGCAATTATAAAATAAAGCATGTGCATGATAATAATTATATGTTTATACTTTATTATACAAAAGTAATACTTCCAAGCTGTAAAAGTAAAATAAACTGTTATGTTAATTCTTCTGTTAATAAACTGTAGTATAGCAGTTAAGGAGTCATAAATACAGTGAAATACACAATACAGTGATATAACACTTCTTAAGCTATTTAGCCTATTTACTAAAGTTGTCATTCTTTAATTAATTTTTAACAAAAATTACTAATACTGATTTTCCTAAAAATTATTATAGTAATTTATCTGTGCAAAATTTTAAAAACACTAACTGACAGTATCAGAATTTAAACTTGCATGCTTAGGGCTCATAATCAGGCCACCCTAACTGAATATCCTTTTAACAGGAGCACTGCTTGCAGGTACTACAAAAGCATACACGGCAGCACTCTTGAGAATTGGTAATTTTTGCCCACACATTTTCAAAAATTAGAGACAGTCTATGTCAAGGGTGTCAAAATTAGATGCAAACACTCAATTGATCAGTTCCTCATACTAATAAAACTGAGTATCAAAACTTTTAACAGGTAATTGTAATGTAGTTCCAGTCTGACTGACAGGTATAGTTCTACAATATGAGTATAAAAATGAATTAACCCTTGGCTTCATAAGGGAAAGTTCTGGTAAGACTTTTCCATGGCAACATAGGTATGGCTAAACTCCTTGTTGCAGAACGACAAATTTTTGAAAGAACATTTGTCTTTAAGTTGTCTGTTGGCCTGGACTGACATGACCCAAAAATGTGGCGATAATATTTATCAAGTCGTCAAAAGTTTCTCATCTGTGGATAGGATAAGAGTAACATTCACAAATATACCAAAAAATATTTTTTGAAGACTATTTTGCAGTGCCTGTTTCATACCAGACAGATAAGTATTCTAAGTGACTATACAGCCCCCCAATAGAAGGAACTACAGATGAAACTGTCACATTTTATTCACCTTGAGTCATATCAGTGGCTTTGAGAAATAGTTGCAATAAATCAACAACTTCTCTAAGTTGCACATATTCTCTTTCATTTAGTATTAGATTGCGGTAAATCATCAAGTAGGTTTTTCAAATGCTTTTTATATGACGGAATGTGGAAATGTAAATTGTTGCGCTTACTCGAGGAATACCCTGATTGGAGCCAAACATTTTATGAAAAACCTCTTTAAATGTTACACTAGTATGAAGCAAAGTGCATATTTTAGATGCTTTAGCTTGAGCAAAGTAAATTTTTGTCTCTTTGAGACCATCAATAATAGCTAATTGTAGGGTGTGAGCAAAACAACTTAGTCTGGTAATCTCTTGTTATGGTTTAAGTTGATTGATATTTTGAATTATTTTGTCCAGTGCCTTTATGTCTTCCTACAAGTTTTGAACTTCTATGTCATTGTGAAGTTCTTCTGCAAGAGTATCACCACCACTTTCGGGTTCTTCTAGAAAATTTGTAGAAAATGCTTTGCGCATGTTTGAAGCATTGTCTGTCACAATATATACAACTTTGTCAAATTTATTTATATGTTTTTACAAATACATTTAAAATGTTCTACTAAGTTATCCCCAGTATGAGCACCTAAGAACCTATTGCATGTAAACAGTTGTGTGTGACAGTGATAGTTATGCATGTAATGTGCTGTTACACCAAGGTAAGCCCTCATTTTTCTATCTGACTAAATATCAAGTGTTAGGAAAATGCTTGCAGCCTGAAATAAATTTCAGTTAAGTTTTCCTTTGCAACTGTGTGTATTTTCTCTAATTAGGTTTTTATGGAAGAACAACTAATAGTTAAACACTGAGGATCAAGAACACTATTGTATTGCCTAAAATGTTTACTTTCTACAATAGACACAAACTACAAGATGTTTCACAACAGCTGCCAAAATTTTTTGTTGCTTGGAGTGGGTGCGGCCATATGTTATAGTAAAACTCTCTCCCAAAGCAACTACAAATAATAAATGCATTGTCATTCTTATTTTTTATTGTATAAAGTAATGAGCCATTATCTTTAATGCTAATCTTCATAAGCTAGCTCAAAGATTTATTTAAAAGCTTAGGGTTAGGATGTCAGATATAGTACAACACTGGGATGTATTGTTGTACAAGCTAATAAGAAGTAGAAGAACTGTTATGGCATGTCATACTAGACTACTAGTCTACTAGAGATAAAGTATTACAGCGGAGAGCGAGCGGACCCCAGGGTATATTTATATATTTTATATATCTAATAAAAAAAAAAAAAATTAGTATTAGTAAATAACCTAACCTGCTCAAAAGTCTGAAATCTTTGATTGGTCAATTGTAGCAGCTGCAGGTATGAATAAACTTTTGATATAATGCATATTTTTCTGGATGTGTTTTTAAATGGCAAAGTTGCTTGCAGTTATAGCTCCATTGGTAATTAAACTTAAAATTTACATTGAGCTGATCAGTTTTTTTTTTTTTTTTTTCTCTGATCAAAATTAACTACTCTAAGCACTGCAGGCATTTTCTGAATTTTTATAGCACATATAGTTTTAAGTTAACTTTTAAAACTTTATAAAACGTTGAAATTGGTAGCAAACACACTTGAGACTATTTAGAATTAGAACAGCAGTACAGAGACTTCTGGAGTGGCGGATGTGTTTTTATAATGAATTTTATAAATAAATTACATGAAAAAAAAAAATAATAAATAAAAGGTAGTTTTGGAAGGTTACTGGAAGTTTATAATAAAAATTAACAAAATAAAAATGAAGATAGTTAAGAAAAGAAAAAGAAATAAATAAAAAAGATAAACAAAAAATTTAAACCAAATCAAAACAAAAAACAAAAAAAAAAAAGAGAAAAGAAACAAGACAAGCTTAGTTAAGTTAAAAGTTATAAGAAAAAAAAATTCCAAAATAGAAAATAGTTAAAAAGAACTGAAATATATTCAACTGGAATGAATAGAAATCCATTTTTGAAGATATGGAAAATAAAAAGTCGCTTTGCTGAAATTAGCAAGTTTCGAATCAAGTCGCAAGTCTCAGGGCAAGTCAAGTCTTGAGTCGAGTCACAGGTGTGACATAAGTCAAACATGAGTTCGAGTCGATTGATTTGAGTCTTTAGCTCTGACAAAAGACTAGAAATTTTGAATTTTATCTCATTGTCTACATAGATATATGACTTTTTATCTTTTGACAATTTCGCAAGCAGAATAATTTATCAAGGTCTACACAATTATTTTGTTTAGTTTAACTTTCATTTATAAATTTTGATAGGTTCAGTTTTCTATGGCTTCTTGTATCTCATTTAAGCTTGCAAACTGGACACTCGCACAATGATTTATTTACAACACCTGCTCTTTTTAACTTTTGTAAAATTTTTTTTACAAAAACTAAAAAAGGCACTTCCACTGATTTGATAATATTCAAATCTTTCTACCAAATTAAAATAACTAAATGATAAGTGATTTTACGTAGAACTTAAATAAATAACCTATATCTTTTTTAACTGCCTTTTTTTAAAAAAAACTTTTAACCCAAGTACCACAATTGTCAGATGGCAAGAGTTTATTTCTACATTAAAACCTTAACCCACAAACTGTATTTTTTTGTTTGTGGATTATAATTTTAATTTAAAAACTATTTATTTAAAAACTAAACTTTAAAGTAAGTGAATATAATTGTTATAATTATTACTCTGTTCTTATGGTGCAAATTTAAAAGGATTAGTTAATATTTAAAGGAATAGTTAATATTATTTTTTACTATTATTTTTAGTATTTAATTTATTAACCTAATATAAAATCAACTAAAAACTTAATTTGCCCAAAAAAAAATCATATAAAGTTGAATTATTTAAATAACAAAACAATATTAAAATAGATACCGATTTTTTGCATATAAATCAAGATATTTTCCTACTAAGGTCAAATTCAATACCACATATGCAATACATGTGATCAATACCAAAGCAACTTTAATCATAAAAGAAAGTTGAATAAGAGTTGGAACAGTGAAAACAACCAAAACACCAGTAAATGTGAAGTACTGAAAGATTAATTTTTTTTAACTCTGAATTTTAGATTTCATAACTTAATATTTATAACATACAAAAAGCAAAATGTTTACCACAGGATATTTAAATGATTGGGGATCTAACTTGAGCAACATCTGTAAAATGAATTAAAAATAAAATAAATAAAATGCAATTAAAAAAATTAAAAATAAAATGCAATAAAAATATAATTTAATAACTTTAAAAATAATTTTTATAAACTTTTATTTCAAATAACCAAAACAAATAAAAAATATATAATTATAAATTTAGAAAATAAATATCTTAAAACTTCTTATTGTAATAAATATGAATGCTTCTGTTTCTTGAAAATTGTAATAAATATGAATGCTTCTGTTTCTTGACAATAAACTTCTTTAACATATAAGTTTTACTCAACATATAAGAACACCTTTATAAGATTTAAAGTTAAATTCTTTTTCATCATTCATACATTATATCAAAAATATACTAATTACAAATTAAAAATACTACAAACACCATGAATATACTGTAGACATCACTACATAACTGAATATTCTACAGACAACACTACACAATGGAATATACTGATACCACTGCATAACTGGATACACTGAAAACACCACTATGAAACTGGATATACTAGATAGGCTTTAATTGAACATACTGTAGAGACTTTGTCATGACTTTAAAAAAATTTTCTTTTTGGAAAAATGAACTTTGTTTTTACTTACATCATCAAAAACCTCTGATATTAGCACACAAATGATGCATAAAAATGAAATAGCGTCCACAATTCTTGCATATGGAATTGATAACTTTAATGACTTCAGCACAAATGATAACGATTTCTAAAATGAAAATAATATTTTTTTGAAAAAAAAAAAGAAAATTTGAAAATTTAAGTCAAGTTGTAATATAATCTAAATAGAACTTTATTTTAAAATTCGAAAAAACCTTCTTCCTATGAGAATCAATCATAAAGAATGCCAACACACATAAGAATAATAAATTCATTCCAAAAGTAATAAAATTTGCCAAGTACCTGAAAAGCAATTATTTTTATTTATAATTTTAAATATAAAATTACATAAGTGTTGTAAGAAAACAAGACATCTTGCTCTTATGGAAAAACTTGAGAATTAAAAAATGTCTACTAGTAATGAGTTATTCATAAACCTTACATTGCCTTGGTTACATTGCAAGTTGTCTTGGTTTCAAAGTTACAAAAAAAAAAACTGTTGAGGAGATTAAAAAAATAATAACTTAAAATTTTTAATTTTTATATTTTTAATGCATTAGTGACTTGTGAATATTAAAGAGTTCAAATTAGGTAGCACACAAAAATACATTTAACTTTTTGTGTCCATTGTTAAATGAATAAATTGGAATTAAATCATACAATAATATTATAATTAGAGATAACCCAAACACTTCATTTTGTCTATTCAAGTTATTCCTCATAAAAGCTTTTTGAAAATACTTTTATGCACTTCCTGAATTAGTTCTGTAAAACAGTTCAAAACAGCTCAAAAATTTCATAGTAACATTTATTTTTGAAAAGACAGGTGAATATCATTAACCCCTTATATACCCCAAGTTCAACCTTTATACCCTCTTATATACCCCAAGTTCAACCTTTATACCCTCTTATATACCCCCCAAGTTCAACCTTTATACCCTCTTATATACCCCAAGTTCAACCTTAACTAAATAAGAACTTAACAGGAAATTATAAATTCTAATTAGCTATTTATGAATAAGTTATTTACAAAATTTATAAACAATAAATTTATTTTGCAAGTGAAAACAAACAACAAAAATATTTAAAATTTTATTTTAGGAGTGAGGTAATTCCACTAATTAATCTGTCCAATTACAAAATTAGATTAATTCACTTATAGCATTTCTAGCAATCTTAAAATACTATCATGAAGTTCATGTGATTGTGAATCTTTGTAAGAAGTAATTTCTGCATTTCAAACAAATTCAGATGTTTACCTGATCAAAAGATGAAGTTTTAATTCTGTTGAACACAACAATACCATTTTTTATTTTAGTAATTTTTTTTTAAAACAAACTAACACACTTTTACCCTATTTTCGTTTTGATTATGTCCTGTAACTTTTACATATAAAACAAATGTTGAGAATTTAAACCAGTTTAAATAATGGTTATAATAAACTACAATAGTCAAATGATGTCTGATTAAATAAACATAAAAACAAAGAAAAAATATAATATTTAAACAAGACAAAGAAAAATTGAAGATTTAATGGTAGACTAGGTTTTTCAAAACAAAAACTTTTTAATTTTTGCTAACTAACTGTAATAACAACTAGCTTTTTAATTTTTGCTGTAAAAAAGATTTTCTAGCAAAAATTAAAAAATTAATTTTAAAATAATTAATTTTAATTATTATTAAATTAATTATAAAAAAATTAATTACTGTAATTTTAACTGTAAAAAAGTACATCTTAGCTAAATGCAAACATATATATTTGCCATTTTAATTGATAATCAGGGTCGACGACACAGATTATCAATTAGAATGGCATTCAAAGTGGAGGGGCACAATCATTAAATTCTAAAAAAAGTTTTAGACAGAAATTTCTATGTCTAGGAAAGTCTATGTTTAGAAATTTCTTAAAAAAAAAAGTCCTTTATAAAAAAAAGTGGGGGCCAGAGGAGCATTGGTGTTGTCAGCACTGGTAATAATTGTTTAGCACTGTGTTAAAAAATTCAATTATAAATACTAGTGGTATAAACAATTACAATTTTTGTAGTTTTTCTCTTAAACTGAATTTTAACAATATTAAATCGTGATTAATAATAGAAATTTCTTTTTACCTAATAATTTTTTACTATTGTGTGAAGGGAGAACTTAATTTTTGAAAGCATTATTATAAAATACAACAAAAGAGTTGTTGATCACTTGAACTAATATAAAGTTTAAATCTTACTTGTTCATTAGGTTTAAATTTTCTTAGAGCTTAATTACTAAATAAAGAGATCTGAATATCACGTAACAACCATATCAAATATCAACTATCATACACTCCATATCATACACTTTAAATATTATACATTTTCAATTGTACGAATATCATACACTTTATAGTGTATGATATGGAGTACAAATATGAATTATATGAAATATATGGATTAAGTGTATGATATGAAATATTAAATATGAAATATATGGATTAAGTGTATGATATGATATGGATTAAGTGTATGATATGAAATATTAAATATGAAATATATGGATTAAGTGTATGATATGAAATATATGGATTAAGTGTATGATATGAAATATATGGATTATGTGTATGATATGAAATATATGGATTAAGTGTATGATATGAAATATATGGATTAAGTGTATGATATGAAATATTTGGATTAAGTGTATGATATGAAATATATGGATTAAGTGTATGATATGAAATATTTGGATTAAGTGTATGATATGAAATATATGGAATAAGTGTATGATATGAAATATTAAATATGAAATATATGGATTAAGTGTATGATATGATATGGATTAAGTGTATGATATGAAATATTAAATATGAAATATATGGATTAAGTGTATGATATGAAATATATGGATTAAGTGTATGATATGAAATATATGGATTAAGTGTATGATATGAAATATATGGATTAAGTGTATGATATGAAATATATGGATTAAGTGTATGAAATGAAATATTTGGATTAGGTGTATGATATGAAATATATGGATTAAGTGTATGATATGAAATATTTGGATTAAGTGTATGATATGAAATATATGGAATAAGTGTATGATATGAAATATTAAATATGAAATATATGGATTAAGTGTATGATATGATATGGATTAAGTGTATGATATGAAATATTAAATATGAAATATATGGATTAAGTGTATGATATGAAATATTTGGATTAGGTGTATGATATGAAATATATGGATTAAGTGTATGATATGAAATATTTGGATTAAGTGTATGATATGAAATATATGGATTAAGTGTATGATATGGAGTACAAATTGTACTCCATATCATACACTTTAAATTGTATGAGTTGTTATATGGTTGTTCATTTATAGAACAAATATATAACAATTATCTTTAACTACATATCAACTATTATACACTCATTTATTGAACAACCATATAACAATTATCTTAACTACATATCAACTATCATACACTCATTTATTGAAACTTGATAATAATGAACATTTCAAAAACTTAAACCAAACATTTGATTAAGTCAATTAAAACAATTGTAAGAAAATGGGTTGAAAATTTCATGAGCATAATATTTTCTCTTTCAAATCATTAAAAATAAATATAACATTAGTGGATTTGGAAAACATCTGACTAAAAAAATATTAAATTGAATGTTTACTAACTTGACTAATTGATTTTGATTCTTTTATTTAAACTAAATTAAATATATATTTTAGATTTAGTATTAGAATGCCTAGTAAAGCTTGTTATTGAAAAAACTACAGTTTTTTTTTTATTTACAATATTTAATAATATTGTAAATAAAATAATATTTGGTGATACTAAAATTAGTATAATGGAGAAGTGTTAATAGCTTTTCTCATTTAACAGTTTGTTTTAATTTTTTTGTTTGTTTGAGTCAATGTATTATTATAAAAATTATTAAATTAAATTAAATTTAAGATTAAATATTTATAGCTCTAACAAAAATTATATTTTTAAAAAATAACTTAATTAATAAAAATAACAAAATCTCTTGAAAATATTTTCAAAATTTTCAAAAAACTCCATACTTCATACTTACAGTTGGTGGAGAGTAAGTTGTACAAAGAAATTCAAAAGAGTAACAACAAACAGACCAGTCAGAGATAATATAGGATATTGAATCTTTTCATGGCAAAACTAAAAAAAAAAAATTATTACAACATAAAAGCCAAAAAATTGCAAAATTTACTTTAAAAAGTTATAAATTTGTCTATTAATAATATCTTAGAATGTAAAAAATACATGAAAGTTCTGTTTACCAAGTAGCTGTTTGAAAAGTTCAGAAATGACTTATTGTATAACTGATGTAGAATTATCGTTTAGAAAATTAAAAAAAATAATAGTAAAAATAATATATATATACATATATATATATATATATATATATATATATATATATATATATATATATATATATATATATATATATATATATATATATATATATATATATATATATATATTCAAACAATATAAAATGACTGAAACCTTTCTAGTAGATTTTGTTAAATATTATATTAGAAGAAAATAAATTTCTTTGCTTATATATTATTTCTCTTTTGAAATTAACCATCTGCAAAATTGTTGTTCTTTATTGTTCGATAAGTTGCACATTGCTGTACTTCATTGTCATCATGTGTGAAAACCATTTGCGTAATTTTTGATCATTGCAATTACTCTCTCTGCTGTGTCATTTGTGCACACAAAGTTTTGAACAAAAACTTTCTGAAAGGTTTTTTTTTCATTGATCTAGTGATTACAGGAGCCGTGTTAAATTATTAAATGCTAGAAGCTTCAAAAGGGTCCAAGCTATTTGTAAAACAAAGAAAGCCAAAGTAGTGTTCCTTGCTTGCATTGATTTTCTTGGTTGCCCATGACAGGCTTTCTAAAACTTTTAAGCTAAAACAGATTTTTTATTTAATGATTTTCAGAAGAAAAGAGTGCAGTGGTATCACTTCTCCAGTATCAGGTCTTCCTATGGCATTGAAATATTATTCACTTTTCATCCCTTAAAAACTGTGAGATCTTTAAGCAGATTCAAATCATTGATTGGTGCATTGGCATCATTCATTCAGGTAAGCCAGTTATTTTCAAAATTCATAAAAGCAGACATATCTCTGGTGAGTGTCTCTCAAGGTCTGTTGAGTGGTTAAACTGTTTGAACAAAATTTTACACAATACAGAAAATATGGATATCTAGTGGGCTTTGTAAAAAGCACCAGATTTGTAAAAAAGAAATCATCTGGTGACATTTCTCCAGCAAAATTGCTGCCAATTCGCAAAGCTAACGGTAATAACTTCTATGTTGCTTAGCCTTATTTTAGAGTAGACCCTGGACATATTGGCACACATCATTTTTTTTTCATTGTTAGCATTTGGCCTTAAATAAAAATGTTTCTTGGAAGGTTTAAAGAAACAATTTTAGACTTCCTTGTTTGCTTGGGTCAATGTAGTTTGATTAGTTTGTGTAACAATTTCAGGGTCATCAAAAATATTTCTTGGAAAAGTTAAAGAAATGATTTTTGATTTCTATGTTTGGGTCAATGTGGAAATTATAAATTCTTGTGAATTATTTTTATTCTACATCATTGAATTTCTTAATGATTGACGCACATTCTTTTTTGCTGTTGGGCAGAATTTAAAGTTGTTCATTTTCCATTTTGTTCATTTGTCATTTTCAGATTCACAGAGTATACTCTGTATACTCTGTGAATCCCTCTTCAGTTTTAGCTTCAGAATGTTCTTGCTCCCATTTACATATTTTTAGTTGATTTTTAATCCAGTAAGAAGTCAATATCTTACTTCTTTGAGGCAGCAGTCCAACTACAATCACTTTGTATTGTTTAAATGGTATCACCAGCAGAGAAGACTTTTTAATTTTCAAGTCTCAATTCTATTTTAACCATCTTCTCTTTGAATTTTTCTTATTTTGCTATTTGATTTGGAGATTCAATTTTGAAATATTTTTTCAGGGAGGTCCATTCATTGTAGAAAAATACAGCATGACTTTGTCATGAGCATTTCATTTTTTCATAAGTTTTATTGGAACCTAATCATAGATGTCTCAAAAATGTCCAACTAAAAAATTTTTTTGTTAATCAAGTTTATGTAAGAGTAGTAACAAAATTTGCTGAAAATTTAAATTTAAAACTTAAAAAAATGGGTAGAATCTTATTTATAAACTTTACATAAGTATAAAAAAATATATAAAACCTTTTATACGAATATAATTGCTTACTGATTATCTTTGAGTTCACAAAAAAAAAATTAACGAAATAAGACACTTAAATAAAAATAATACAGGATTGAATAAAACTAAATCACAAAAACACGTGTGTGTGTTTGTGTGTGTGGGTATGTGTGTGTATGATCCAATAACATGTGTAATGAGGTAAAACAATTATTCCCAAGTGATGACCTTAATGGAAAAGATTAGCTTGATGCAAAAAACAAAACAAAACAAAATTTAGGGATTGCAATTTTACAAAAATTTCAGATTAAAAGGGTAAACTTTTATCTATCGGATGTTGAACACTTGGGAGTTAGCTATATGAAAAGTAAACTTAAAAAGTTAAAAACAGTCACAACTGTGAGTCATGAGCATGGAAACTAGAAGAGCATGGGAACCACAAAGGTGAGTTAAATTCTAATAAAGTGAAACTTTTTTGATGAAACTTATGTTAAGAATACCCTCAAGAATACTCTTATTTCTAAAATATTTGTACTGCCTTGTTTGATCTATTTATAATCTCCTAATGTTGGATGGACATTTAAGTATTGATGACATTAAATCCAAACATTACATTGGTTAGTGTTGGTTACAAAATACTCTAAAAGGTTTGAAGTGAAAAACAAATCAAAGTAGTTAATAGGATAAAATTCTGATGTAATGGTAATGTAAATGTAATGCTAGTTGTGATGGTGTGATAGCATGCTTGGAGCCATACTCAGCAATAGAAGGAGCTACATCTGGACAACAATCATCTTCCAGAACAGGAGTTCACAAATTTGATAAGTTATCATTATTACTACCAATATCAGAAAAAAAAAACTTGCAAAATGTCTCTATGTGTCATTAAGTTAAATTATTTATGATAAATTATTAGGTGTGAAATTATTTGCGCCTTTATAAAAAAAAACTCATCATTATTACGAATATATTCTTAGCTAGTAGAATCTTCACGCATAGAGGTGTGTATATATATATATATATATATATATATATATATATATATATATATATATATATATATACACACATACATATATATATATACACACATACATATATATATATATATATATATATATATATATATATATTATATATATATATATATATATATATATATATATATATATATATAGCAAAGTTAGCTAGGTTTTCTTTTCAAAGGCTATCTCAACCCTGAACCCAACCCTGCTGCAACCCAAGCTCATCAACCAATGTATGTACAGTTTTCTGCTGTTGTCTCTTTTATAAATTCATGTTTTTTTTTTTGCATAAATGATGCTTATGAGGACTGCTGAAATAAAAATAAATAAATGCTTACAATAAATGCTTACAGGAAAAAAAGATTAACAGGTATATTTAAATGTCCTTTTAAGCATCTGTTTTTGCATAATCTCTCATAACATAATCCCCACCACGTCCCTGGTAGTACCGCGCTCAACTCGTTTCTCCGCGCAGCGGCCTTGTTCGTCAAGGTTCGTGTTTCGGAGTTATAGAGTTGAGAGAGGGTTATAGCCACAAAATAAGTAGCCTCCTCGTCTGTAGTGGCCTTCTTGGCCTTGAGGAGGTGAAGTAAAATAAAAAAAAAAAAAAAAAAACTGAAAAACTATATGCGTGGTAATAATAAATTTTGATTTTAATTACCTCTTCAATAGATTTATCAATAAACTTCAAAGTCAAAGTATGCACAAGACCTTTTAAACTAAAATAATTCAAAAAATATTTTATAGTTAATTTATTAATTCAGTTTATAATTATTTATTACAACTATTATTTATTGCTAATCTAAAATTAATTTAATTTTATTTACAAATTAATAAAAAATTTTAAATTCCTGAAATTTAATTTTCTTTACACATTAAAAATATTTTACTAATATCTGGAAAGTTTTAAATGCTTAAAAAATTTACCTAAAACTTCTAGATTGCAAAGCATCAACAAGCATGCTATTGATTTTCTTTTCTCTAAAAACATTGAAAAAGTTTATTAAAATTAATCAAATTAAAACTTCAGGTAAAAAAAACATAAACGCTATGGTAAAAATGTTAAAATTGTTAAAAAAAACTAACAATTTTATAAGAAAAATATAAAGTATAACAAACTATAATGATAAATTTTTACATAACTTATACAAAATTAATTTAGATTTTCACTAGCAAAATATTAGATATTAATAGTTTAGCACTAACCTAATCTCTTGGTTTTGTTCATAAACTATATTATTCTAAATAAAAAAAAGAAAACTTAAAAGTTGAAAAAGAAATCAGCATAATAATAATTAATAAAAAATATTAAAAATTTTATTTTATATAAGTTTCAACTTAATATCAATGATTAAGTAACAGAATAATATTGACATAATTTTTTCTTGACAAAGTAAAACCTTACTAACAATAAAAATAACATATTTGGTTTTTAAATAACATTGTAATGTTGTTTTGTTTTTAAGTGTTGTAAAAATGTTGTTTGTTTTTAAATAATGTGATAATGTTGTTTGTTTTTAAATGTTGTGATAATGTTGTTTTGTTTTAAATGTTGTAATGTTGTTATGCTTTTTTGAGGCAGTTTGAGGTCAGCGAGGTCAAAATCTTCTTGGTCACGCTACTTAATTGTTACAGAAGAAACATGACAATGAGATTTAACTTTGACAATGACAATGAGATCTAACTTTGAATCTCATTTGATACTCCACTCCTTAAACAAACTGTTTTGTTTTTTTTCATTGATTTAATAGTAGCTTAATAGAGTCCACAATTTCTACAAATTTATTTTAATAAAGTATTTTCAAATGCTTAGACATAAGTAGTAGTCATATGACAATCCTTTGGAAAACTGTCACTGTTGCAGGCAAAGCTATTTTGCTAAGTGATACTTTCTAACTAAATATAGTGTTGCATAATTTATGAATGATCACTTTACTGTTTTAATCAATTGATGACAATGTTACAAAAAAGTATTTTTTTATTTGTATTTCCATAAAACTATTTGAATATTCTGAAAAAATAAAATTCTAAAAAAATATCCAAAAAAAAGATAATCTCTGCATGTTTAAAGATGGTTAAAAATAAAATAAGGTTTTTGATAATAATAAAAACCTTTTATAAATGATTGCCCACCATCAGAATTATTTAGACTTATATAAATGATTGACCAATAAATTTTACTTCATTGATCATTTATGATCAATGAAGTAAAATTAAACATTGTAACATTGATGATTTATGATCAATAGAATTAAACAAACATTGTTTATCATCAAATGATCATTTATCATCAATAAAGTAAAATTAAACTAATATCATAGATCATTTAAATTCGCATTTGAATGTATTTCTATAAAAATAAATGTTGTAATCACTATTTATACATTAGAGCATTTGTTCTTTATTTTATGATTTTCTGTTTTTTTATTAAAGCTTTATAATAACTTTTATATTTTTTAAAATACTTGATTTCCTTAATAAACATTTTACTAAAATTACTTATAAATAAAAAACTTGAAGACATAATTTAGATAAAATTAACAGAACACAGATTTAACAGAACAAATTTTCTAAACTATATGTTATTCTTAAAAATTAAAAAAAAGTATATGTCAATACCTCATCATTTGAAATTTTAGTTTTTTTCAATTCTTTATCTTTTTGGTTCAGTTTATATGAAAGCGATTTCCTCAAAATTGAAGTTCTTGGTAGTTTTACACTATCTTGATCAATTTTCTTTTCAAGTTTATTCTCCTGAATACAAAATTTTAATCAATAATAACATCAATTTTCTTTGCAAATTTATTTTCCTGAATAAAAAATTTTAACATCATGATCTTGACCTAGTAAGTGACCGGGCTTGATATTTGACCAGGGCCAAGGCTGGGTTTGATAAAATATAGCCAGGGACAGGGCCGTGTTTGTGACCAGGGCTGCATAAACATTTTTAATTTTGTATATATATGCATATATAAACATCATTATGATCAATACAATCATCATAATCATCATTATCATCATGATGATTATGATGATGATGTTGATCATCATCATCATCATTATCATCATTATAATTATCATCATCAACAGCATAAAAGAGGAAGGCTAAAGCCTGATGATGATGATCATGATCATTATGATCATGATGAACATCATCATTATCATCATCATCATCATCATCATCATCATCATCATCATCATCATCATCATCATCATCAGGCTTTAGCTTTCCTCTTTTATGCTGTTGATCTAATATAAACAATCTAGAGCTTTTTTTTTTCTTAACTAAAGCTCATTCATATAATACACAATATTCATACAATATGTAAGGCACTCTCTTCAAGTTTTCTTACTTCTACCACTACCATTTTTCACTGAAACTGCTATCTCTCTACATTCTCATACCTAAATTACTTTAATCTTTTACAACAAAAGTTGTTCGATACAACATTTTTTCTAATATGTCTAAAATTTTTCCTCCTTTTCTTGTCTTGCTAGAGCCACACGACACATCCATCTGATTATCTTATTTTTCGGCAAATACTGAGGTAAATACACCATATAAAAATACTGAGGCAAATACACCATATAAAAACTAAAGTTTATATAACAATGAAAGGATATTGTATGCTAGCCTCTAAATAAATAGCAAACATATATGTTTAGATACATAATATGTATGCATAAAGTGTCATAAAAATCTTGGAGGCTTTTATTCCTTCTGGAATAAAATCTTGTATCTTATTCCTTCTGGAATAAAAGTTTGGAAGCTTTTATTACTTCTCTTCAATTTTAAGTCAAGCTTTATTCTACTCCACATATTTCACCATCTTGAGCAGTTGCTTTATTACATTAATCATTTTTTTAAATCTTTTTTACAAGAACATCTCTCTTAAGAACAAATGTCCTTTGATTATTGCAAAAAGCCAATTTAAAAAATTCCTGTCTGATGTTAAACTCTGTTATTCTCAGTTTACCAAATCTTGTATCTTATCTCATCTTAGGTTCTAGAGATTTAGGTTAGTCTTCAAGTGTTATAAACTAAAGTAAGTCTAACATGTAATCTCTAATTCATGGGTCTGATCTTTTTACTCTTTATTTGCAAAGACATCTTATTCTAATTTGACTCTTGAATATAATGGCCATACTCTTTTTAACAGTTACATAGATTAATTCATTGTTAAACATTGAAATCACTCTGGCTTCCAATGCTAAAGTTAACTCTAAATTAAACTCTTCTACAGTATGTTCTCCAGAACTCCCTTTAATTTTTGCTAAACTTTTAAAAAGTACAAAATAAGTGGTTACAACTTTTCAAAACTACGATTAACCTTTACTATATTATTAGTTTCTTTATATAAAGGTTTTTAGGTTATTAAATTATTTCTTTCTAACTGCAATAGTAAAGTTATTCTTGAAGGCCTACACTCTTCCTTATTTTAAGTAACTTTAAGGCTATCATCTATATAAATTTTCTTCTAAGCCCAGCTATCAACTCCTGCTAAATCTTATAATTTTGCCGGGGCTGGGTTTGCAAAAAGTCTCATTTTTAGCCAGGGCCAGGGCCCCTGTCACTTACTATTTTGATCATTTCTTTAAAAATTCTTTTTTAATATTAACTTACATCTTTTTTAGAAATCAAATCTCTTTTTTCATTGATGGATTCTTTTCGACCTTTAATAAGATAAGTATTGATATTTTTTAAGTAATCACATCGTTCACCACCATGTCCTTCTTCAACCTCATAAGAATCTTTAATCAATTCATAAGTCATTTGTGAGACATGTACCCGACTTTACCAAAAAAAAAATTTTAGTATTTAATTTTGCATTATTATCTTTTATTATAAATATATAATTGTATTAATGTTTAAACAAAAGGAAAAAAATGTTTGTGACAAAGGCTTGATAAACAACTGAATAAAATCTAAATTAATGACTTTAAATTAATATGATATTTGTTATAACTTATCTATGCAAATTTATTATTACTTATTGTGACCTTTAGTTAACAGAGTGTGCACCCATTGGTGCGCATACTCTTTTAACTAAAGTTTAGTTGTTTGAACTAAATGATGTTACAAGTTTATTAAAATTTGAAAAATCTTATTTTCATAAAGATATTTTACTTCACAAATCAAAAGTATCTGCAAAAGAATTTTTGCAAGTGAAAGTCACAATTTACATTTTATCAAAAGTGTTGTAAAGGTCTTTGTTAATATCTTAAACTTTGAAAATCTCCTAAATTATTATTTACCCCGGCAAACCACCAGATTCCATTTTATTTGCTAATGTAACATCATCTGACCATACATCGTACTGCCACTTTCGTAAACCTAGAATACCAGCAAGTACATGACCTGAATGAATTCCAACTCGCATGTCCAAGCATTGAACCTTGGTTTTGTTTCTCACGCATCTAAAATTTCATATCCTTTAATATCCTTTCCAAAACATATATTTTTAAATTTTGCATCATTTGTTTTTATGAATACAAAATAATCAAAATAATTTGATTATTTTTATTTCTATTTATAAATTGTAAAAAAATTTATTCACTGAATACAAAATTAATGTTGAAAAAAAAAACATACACAATTTGATCAACCATTTCCAATCCCATTTCTACTGAATATTCACCATGATTCATGAGTTTTAGGTTGGCTTCATCTTTTTCATTGGCAATACCGCTGATGCAGTAATAACAATCTCCAAGAATTTTGATTCTTTGACATGAATGACGCTGATAAAATAAATAATTTAAAAATCATATTAATTGAAAAACTTTATTTGTATGATAAAACAAAGATTATAAAAAATAAAAAACTTTATATTTAAATATAAAAAATGCGTATTCATATTAATGTTGATTATATTATTATATTAATGTTTTAAATATTTATGCATATTAATTTTATTTAATATGTTAACAATTTTTAATTATTTATTACACAACCATCATATAATCAAAAATAATATAAAAATAAAATAATCAAGATAAATAATCATTGTTGATATATGGAAGCACTCAAAAAAAGTTATTAGTAATTTACAGTTATTTTTAAGTTATTTAGTAAATTACAGTTATCAGTAATTTATTGCAGTCATCAGTAATTTATTGCAGTCATAAGTAATTTATTGCATTCATCAGTAATTTATTGCAGTCATCAGTAATTTATTGCAGTCATATGTAATTTAGTGCAGTCATAGGTAATTAAGTGCAGTTGTAAGTAATTTATTGCAGTCATAAGTAATTTATTGAAATCATAAGTAATTTATTGCAATCATCAGTAATTTATTGATGTCATCAGTAATTTATTGCAGTCATCAGTAATTTATTTCAGTCATCAGTAATTTATTGCAGTGAATTACAATTTTGTTTAAAATATAGATTCCCTAGTTTATATTTCAAACTTTTGAATGTAAAATTAAAGTTTTTATTGTTTATTTTGAAAATTTTTTACAAGACTAAGATGTTTTATTATACAACAGATTGATTGTGAAGTATGCTGTTTTATTTTGTAACATTTTTATATTTTTTAAGTTTTCAAACATATAAAAAATGCATCTAGTACATTATAAGTAATAAAAAAAAAATCAATTGTGAAAAAAGTTGCATACTTTGTTTACTTTTTAACATTACAAAACATTTTTGCTTTATCTAAAGAATTTATGATGACTTTCAAATTAGTAAAAGGAAATAGTAAATTATTTCCATTAAAAAAAGGTTTGATTTCTTTTATTTTCTATTATGTACATCATAATCATGCTTTGGTTAAGAAAGATCTGAATCAAAAGTGACTGCCTTTTCCAAGCGATCGAAAAGTGAAGACTTTTTGTCAAGACAGGAGTAGAAAAATATTACATTTTTAACTTTCCAAAAGTCTATAAGATCTTCTGAGATAAAATACAAGATTTACTAAACTGAGAAAAATCAAACATAGCATCAGACAGCACCTTTTTACATTGATTTCATGCAATGATAAAGAAAAGTTTGTTCTCGAGAAAATTGTTCTTGTGAAAAACATAATATAAATATGAAAAATATGAAAAAAATGGTTTCGATTAGATATAGCAGCTGCCAAAAAAAAGGTGAAAATACGGATTAGAATGAAACCTTATTTAAAAACAATAAGAAGAAATAAATACTTTCATACCTGCCTGGATCCAGGATGAAAGACACAGCCCAAGGACTGTCACAAAGAAAATTATGAGAAGAATCCGATTCACCTTTAGGTAGGTAGTAAATAGTCCAATAATAGGATGAATTCAAAGAAGAAGTAAGAGATAAAAGACTTACAGAGATCATTGGATGGTCAGAAAAGTTTTAACACAAAGTCAATACCATAAAATATAGAAATGAGGTCAATGATTTTTTTGCTGACCTCAAACTAATAAGTGACTAGGGCCCCGGCCCCTGCTAAAAATGAGACTTTTTGCAAACCCGGCCCCGGCAAAATTTTAAGATTTAGCAGGGGTTGATAGCCAGGGCTAGATAAAAGTTTATAATACTTAATAAATTATAATTTTATGCTTATATTTACTATTTACTAAATATTGGCATACATTTATATTTTTAAAATCTAACTTACTTCTAACAAAATTGCAAGCAACCACTAATTAAGTTATGCGTTACTTTAAAATAGAGAGTTAAAATACTGGGAAACGTATAACTGAAGACTTCAAAAGTTGTAAGTTGTATAAAAAAGAAAAAAATGAAGATGGATAAGAGTTATAAGGTTTTTGATGTTTAAAAAGTTAAAAAAATCAAATTAAAAGCCAAAGGATCATGAATAGGTAGATATAATAAATAATTTCAATATAAATTTGTAGAAGTATTTAATAGATTTTTTTTTAAATTCAGAGATTGAATTAAGAGATTTTAGATCAGGAAGTAATTTGTTGCACGAGCTAATACATTCATATTTAATGAATTTATTTCCATATTTAGCAGAATGATGGAATGAAGAAGATAGTGACAGTTTGTACTTGTAAAGAAATTTCTAAATGATAGGGGAAGGTTTTTGTGATGTTTTTGCACATATTGGCAGTTAAGGAATACTACAAAGTTGCTTAATTTTAATATACAGTCTTTTGCAAAAGTTTAGAATTAATTAAGTAGTTTTTAGGTAAGGCCCATAATTTATTAAAAATGACATACACAAAGCTAAGATTTTATTTATGTTATATACATACACATGCATGTAATAAATTATATAAAACATAAATTAAATCTTAGCTATGTACATACATAAATCTTAGCTTTATACACAACACATTTATGTAACATAAGGTAAATCTTAGCTTTGTGTCTGTCATTTGCTTATGTTATTTTCAAAAATTATGTATTTACCCAAAAAAAACTTAAATGATTCTAAACTTTTGCAAGATACTGTATTGAAGATTAAGTATAGCACATCAGATTTAAAGTTATTATACTGAAAATATATTATTTTCAAGGCTTTATTTTGGAGATGGGACAACCTTAAAAGAATTTGTTTATGAGATTGTCCCCATACTTGATATGCATATCTTAGATAGAACCCAAAAATAGCATGATATATATTTAACAGTTTAAGGATTTACATAATAGCAGACTTTGGCAAGCATTCCATTGCTGAGTCATCAACAGGACGTATCTTTATTTTTTGGTAGTCAGGCAGAGTAGGAAGTTATCTTCACTATTCTATTACATCTTCTTTAAGGCCTATTTGACAGTTTTTGCAGATACTAATTAGGACTCTTTGATCTACAAAGTTGATAGCTTGACCGAAAACTTCTTGACAGCGTTTAATCATAAAGTCAGTTAGCTTTTTTTTAAAACAGACAGTTTTTCTGTTGTCATTATGAGTGTTTTGCTTGATTCGGCATTTTAAATAGTTATACACTTGTATTTTGTTTAAAAAGCACAATGAAACTGTTTGCAGGCATTTCTTGAAATTTTAACATCAATTTTAACATCAATAATTTTAAAATTGCAGAAAATTGGGGTATGATAGTACAAGTATAAGATTCTAAATACTTGTACTATCATACCCTTGAAGGTTTTTCTTGGGAAAAGAGGTTCAAATTAAAAGTCATTTTGTGACACAGTGATAACAAGTATTTAAGATGGTCTCTAAATCATTGGGGTCTGGAAATATATTGTCCCATTGTCAAAGCAGCCCTGCTGTTATATTGTTTTGCTCCATTATTATTTAAATAAGATTGTATTAAAAAATGGAAAGGAAATATAAATTAAGGTAGAGCGGGGACACTTAAGAAAAAATTGGATAAACTAATCATAGTTAACAATGTTTTTTATAAATTTCCTAAATTTCATTGATATAAGAAAAAAAAAAAAAAAACTTTTTAAAAATAAGTTATGACAACCAAAGTAACAAAACTCTAGACTAGCAAAACTTTTACATTTTGCAAGTGGGTGGGGCAAAACGGGACAGTTAAAAAGCAGCAGCTATTTGTCAATTGTAAAGCTTTAAAAATTATGAAAAATGAAGGCTATCTATTGCCTAAATATGTTCAGACATTAAACTCTCAAAAAAGTAACATCCTCATAGAAACTATGCGCCCATACACCCATACCCCACAAAAAAGAAATAACAACTGAAATAAAATATTTTTTTGTGTATTTTATTATAAAATACCTTCGCTCTACACTATATATTATTAAATCTACACTATATATTATATATACTCTATATATTATTATATATATTATATATTCGCTTTTTATATATTATTATTATATATATTATTATTATATATATTATATATATTATATATTTTTATATATTATTATTATATATATTATTATTATATATTATATATAATTATATATATATTATATATTCGCTTTTTATATATTATTATTATATATATTATTATTATATATATTATATATATTATATATTTTTATATATTATTATTATATATATTATTATATATATTATATAATATATATTTTTATATATTATTATTATATATATTATTATTATATATATTATATATATTATATATTATTATATATATTATATATTCGCTCTACACTATATATTATATATACTCTATATATTATTAAATTGGTAACTGCTACTAAATTTGAAATTACAGAAAAAATTTTATAGATCACATAAATCACACAAAAATTATCCTGATACTGTTCGGCAACACTTTGATGAGCATAACTGTCCCGATATGCCCCTCTCTACCCTACTTCAATATTTTTATTACTAATTATTTCAAAAAAAAAAAACTATTCCCATACTTCAACTAAATCAACTTTTAGTCGACTTGGCTGATTTCAAAAATGTCGATTTTAGTCAACTTTAAAAAACATATTAGCAGATTTATTCAAATTATTTAATAGTCATAACAACACTAATTTTAAGCTTTTTTAAAAATCCTCTCACTTTCGTTTGTTATATTATATATCTGTTATATTATCTTTATATATGTTATATATGTCTTTATATGTAATGTCTATAGAACTTCAAAAATCTTTATAAAAAGAATATATTAAAAAAAAAGTGCTGTCCAAGGATTTGAGTACGGCAATGTACTTTAGTAATGCTGCAAGCTAACCACTTAGGCCACTAAGATATATTGTTTGAGAAATGTTTTAACACTATTTTATGAAAAAAAGACTTTATAAAACGGCAAATAAATGCTATAAATCAAAATTAAGGAGATGTTGATGTTTAAGGAGATGTTGCCAAAATGCAATTTTTAAGTAAAAGTAAAACTGTAAAACTTGATATGTGTTTTATCATTACATAATTTGGGGTTTACATAAGTTAAACATTTGCATGCACTTTCATTCACATTTGCTTTTAAAAAAAGGGCTGTGACTCTTTCTTAACTCGGTTGCAATGACTACCAAGAGTTCTGAGTCAAACATGCACGAAAAGCACTGCTACAGTTAAGTTCAGCAATAATACTTGAGATAGCCCTTAAAATTAAAAATGCCAATCGGCAATGCTAACCTAACAGCTGACCTAAAAGTGTCTTGGGTCAGGGATTTTTTACCAACCTTGTTTTTATTTTGTTATGGTGTGTATATATAAATATATATACATCAGGGCTCAAATTGCGAAGGTGTGATATATATATATATTATATATATATATATATATATATATATATATATATATATATATATATATATATATGTATATAAACTATACTTTATATGTTTACATGGGTACAAATTAGAAAAAATAATAATTTTTATAAAAGTTAAACTTATAAAAAATCAATAAAAGCTTTTCATTTTAAGATGTTATTTATTTAGAGTTGTTCTTTTTCACTTAAATCTAAATTTTATTTTACTATAAGTGTCCAGATTGCACAATTCCAAGTAACTGTTCAGAAATACTAGCATGTCAACTGTTTTGAGTCTGGAAGATGCATGCCATCCATCAGAGATGCCATGCCATCCATCAGAGAGCACATATATACCTCTTTAGGAAAAAGCTGAAAATATTTTTAATATAATTTGTTAAAACATGGATTTCTTTCAATAAACTTATATTTTTTATGGTTTTAAAAGACTTTTGTCCGAGAGACAAACTAAAAAACAAGTTGGAGGAGTTTTTTTTTTATGTTAAGGAAAACATTGTACATAAGGAGAGAAATAAAAAGTGGGTTTCTGAATCTGAAACTCAAATAACTTTCCAAATATTATGTTCAATATTTTCAGATATTTTAATTAAGAAACCATTAAAATTTTTAACTACAAGATCTTAAAGATCTTCTTTCACATACCAAGTTGATATTTTTAAATTGTTATATTATGATTAATAAATTTAAACTTAAAAAATAAATGAAATGAATTTTAAACTTATTAAATGATGGATAACCATCATTTGATAATATTACCCAAGCAGTTACAAACAGACAGGTAACCAGGTGTCAAGGTCATCAACAGCATTATTGGTGACAACAATATGTAAAATATAATATGAACTATTTCCTAAAAAGTTATAATAAACCTAAAAATTCAACAACTTACTTTTCCAATCTTGTCAAAATTGGCAAATAGCTCATTTAACATGACAATGAGTTGTTCTGCAGTTACAGTTGATGAATATTCTGTAAAACCAACTATATCTGCAAACAGGATGCTTAATTAAAATGTTTAAGATTATTAATAAAATATTCTGTAAAACCAACTATATCTGCAAATAGGATGCTTAATTAAAATGTTTAAGATTATCAATAAATATATAACACATTCATTTAAACAAATTTTATTAAATTTATGCTATTCAAATAAATTACAAGATGCTAATGATGGATCTCATATTTACAATGATGTAATGTTTCCTGGCAATTATAAGGTGTAAACACTAGAATATAGTTTTTTATCTATTTTTTTTAAACCTTAAAAAATTTTTTACTGTATTTAATAAATCATGAATTAACAAATACTTAACCTTATTTAACTTTATTCAAAATATTGATTTGAATTATTGATTTTTTGTGCTAAAATAGAGGCTGTTACCTGAATTTCAGGGAAAACTTTAATTTTATATCATTATTTTTTCTTTTTCATTTTTCTTACTGAAAAAATTAATTGAATTTCATACTAAAATAGTTGATCAAATAAATTTAAATATAAAATCTTTTGTAATAAGTTTGAATTATAATATAATATTTATTGCAAATTTTTAAACCAGGAAGTATTTTAATTTAAATAATAATTTTTTTTAAATATTTTATAAAATTAGTGTTTTAAATGTATGTAAAAACATTAAAATGACATTCTTTTTGACAAGATGTGTCATTAACTGCATTGAATTGTTTAATTAGAAATCTTGCAGTAGATTCTTTATTTTCTACTTATAAATATGTAACTTATACAGTAATATTAGGTATTTCTCCACCAGGAGCAATAAATTTTAAATATCAACTTTATGATGGAGCTATTTCTGACAAAGAAACTGTTGTAAGGTCAGGTTTCTTAAATAAAGAACTATTGAATTAACAGAAAGTCAAGTCAATGCATCAATTCACATAGAAAGCCAAAGATAAAAGTATTTCAACAACAAGTCAAAAAATTTTTTTAGGATTTTATTCTCTGTCTCATCTAGGGTCAGTCTTTTTTGACTTCTGTAACTTTCTGTAACTTATCAAAGAAAAGTTAATATGTAAATCATATAACTAAATCTAATTTAATATTAATTAATTTAATAGTAATTAATTCAAAAAAGACTTTATGTATATGCAATTAAACAAGATTTTTTTCATTTTTTTAATTTTAATTTCAAAAATTTTATATAAAATTTGTAAGCTGCTTCTGACAACAATAAACCTTTATTTTTTATTAAGTTTTATTAAAAACAGTAAAAAAGAAGGGATTTTGGACAAATTGCTTGAGACCTTTTTAATATTGGTCATATAATCAGTTCATAAGAGTTCATAAGATAAAGGGGAATCAGTAAGATAAAGGAGAATCAGAAAATTTTCAAATTCGATTTCAGTAAAGGACATAACGTTAGGTACACAATCAACAATATCAATACCTTTATTTAAAAAAGTAACATTTATTTTCAAATTACAAATATTTACTTTTAAAGTATTTTTTTTATTTTGATTTTATCTTAGATATATAAGACTTAAACTATTATTTTATTATGTTAAAGATTTAGACTACAATTTAAATTCTCATAATTTGTAAACATACGATTTTTAAATGTTTTGTGGAAACTGTAAAAAGTATTTCAACAGTAAACTTTTGCAATATTTTAAACTTTTACATCATGTTAAAGTTTTATTTCAAATTAGGTAAAGCTTTATCAGTAAATCTGAAGTTTGTAAATTTTAAAATAGCTAAACTTTATTTCTGGTACATTTTAAAACAATGTCCTGCTAGAATAATTGTTGGTAAATCTTAAGAACTCATATTTTAAACAATTATTTTGATATAAACACTTTATTATTTTGATATATACACTTTATTATTGTCCAAGCACTAATCATTACATCATTGGAATGCATAATAATAGATTTAATAATAGATACATCAACAATAAATACTATCTAGCTCTTATTTATAATCTTTAAAATGTTTACAATCACTTTTTTTATATTATTACTATTTACTATCTATTTATTATTTTTTTATATTATTATCATGATCTCCTCTTATTCTAACCCACAACTAAATTAGAAGTTTTTCCTTCAAGGTAAATTATCTTCACCATGACTAAATAGCCTCGCTTGCCTCAACATCAGTTTAACATTATGAATAAGATGAAATTAAATATTTTAATTTTTTGTAATGAAGATCTTACCTACAATCTTGATGTTTGTTAATATAAATTTTCTTGAAATTTCCAGAATCACTGTATACACTATATCCATCTTGTTTCATATCATCTATTATTTTTCGAGCTAGAGCAGGAGGAAGAATTGACTCAAGCAATCGGCGCTAAAATATGTGTATATATATATATATATATATATATATATATATATATATATATATATATATATTTATATATATATATATATATATATATATATATATATATATATATATATATATATATATATATATATATATATATATATATATATATATATATATATATATATATATATATATATGAGTAGGTCAGAAGCCAAGGGGTACAAGTGACACTTTCATAGTTTTGAGATACAGCTGTTTAAAGTTTAAGTATTTTTGTTACATATAGCTGTTGTTATGTTTTTCCAGTAGAAAGCAGCACAGGGCAGAGATTTACTTGTATCCCTTGGCCACCAACAATTTTGTTTGCTTCTTCTATCAAATTCTATACTTAACTTAATTTTGGTAAAATTGTCACTTGTACCCCTTGGCTTCTGACCCACTCATATATGTATACAAAATACGGCCACAAATTAATAAAAATTTATTTGTGTATTTTCTCATTAAAATTTTTTTTTTAAATCATAGTTATGTAAAGAAAATACATTTTATAATAAACTTATAATAATGTTTTATAAACTAGTAATAATAATTAAATTAGTAATGATTATTTACTTATTTTTAAAGTATAAGAAAAATTAAATTTTCTTTAAAATGTCTTCATCAACAAAAAATTTTTTGTTTAAAAAAATTCAAAATACGTTTGATAAGTAATAGACAGTCAGGAATAATTAAACTATTTTTAGCTTTTGCTAAAAATAATTTAATTATTCCTGATTATTTCTAAGTTTCAAGTTCTATGAGATCTTGTATTTTTTTAACAATGTTTTTGATGAAAGATTATAAATATGATTTTTACTTTTAGTAGTTTTTCTTCAGAATGCTCATAGGATTTCCATTATCGCATTTGCTATGTAACATTTCCAAACTCTTGTAAAATAAATGATAATTGCTTGTAACAAATTTGAAACTTTTATTTGATAACTGTATGAGTTTGACATTGCTGCTTTGTTAAATTGTTTCAAACATTAAAAAATAAAATTTTTATGAGATTATTTTTTTACAAGAGTATTAAATAATTTTTTTCATTCAGGTTTTAGAAAAGAGAACAACAATTTACCAGTATTTACCAAAAGATACACTAAATTTTTCTAATATTACAACTCTATTTTTAATTATATTATCTTTATAATATGGGATGCATTTCACAAAACCCCATTTTTGTAAAAATTTGCATATGACATTTTAATTATATGAGATGTTTCATCAGAGTATCTCTACACTTTCCTTTACTTTGCATCCACATAGGAATCACAAAATTTAATGAAATGAATTCCAGAACATTCAAAGACTTATTATCGCATTTTCCAGAAGGTTTATATCATATTTAATTATTATACAGATGATTTTTTTTATTTTTTACTACTTATTAAATTAACTTTATTTATTAAAACTAAAACTTAAGTTACTATGTATTATTTATCAAATATTAATGTTGCAATATAAATAAGAACTAACAATATATAATGGAATACTCTAACAAATATTAATGTAACAATACTAACAAAAATTATTTAAAAAAAAAAAAATTAAAGAACCTCTTCATTTTTTTTTTTTTTAAATAAATGTTTTCTAAACTCTCAAGCTCTTGCACCTTTAAATAATTTTAGATAAAGCTCTTGCAACATCTTTCTATAAATTTAATAAATCATTAAGTGATTATCAGCTAAAATACATGTTTACCTCAGTTTGTAAAGCATAACAAAACATCTCCCTTCTTTATTAAATCATTAGATAATGCTTAAAGTAGCCTCTTTCTTCAAAAATGGCATTAATTTCAATGAAACAGATTTTCACTATCCAATGCAACTTTATATTGCACTCTAGATGATTTTACAGATTTTAACGTTTTTCTAGTAAATAGAATATCTGCAGCATTTTATTGCTTTGATGACATGTAATCAGTTACTTTTCTTAAAGTGTTTAGAAAATCTTCATTTAATTTAAATAATCCTTATTTTCTTTAAATCCACATACAATGGCAGCCTAGCCATGACACAAGCAAAAAAAAAAAAAAAACAGTCATCCCAAAGAGATATGTACCATATGAGGGTAACCAAAGCCTACAGGGAAACTAAAGCCCATATAGCAGGTAATTTTTGTATTGTGATAGTGGTAATACTGTTTGGAATAAACAGATGATGCTGTATTCTTCCAACAGGAGCTTAGACTATATATATTTACCCAAAAATTGATAAAAGTTTCCTTGCATAACTTCTGCACTGGATAAGTCATTTTTAATTTTAAACTCTCATAACACAACCTCATTTTATGTTTCATCACACCTTCAAAGGTTATAACTAAGGTTATAATTAAAATTTTGTTGTGATTTTTTTTTTAAGGCTATTGTTACCCCATACTTTTTGTGGTGCTAAAATGCCTCTAAAATATAAACTAAAGATGCCTCAAAAATGCCCACAAACAGTATCTCAAGAGCTTAATTTAAGCAACAACTGGATTAATTCTATCCAAGCTTTTTTTGTAGAAGAGAGAGACCGAACCTCTTAGCTTGCAGCGAAAGAAGATACGATTTTAATCAATGATGATGATCCTCAACCAAAATTTGGTTGAGGGGGTTCTTCATAACTCCTTTTATTAAAAGGAGTTATGATGAACCCCCCCAAAAAAGGAGAACTGATATAAATTTATGAAAATAAATATATTTGATATAGGACCACAATATTTAACCCAAGCTTTTCAATATTTATTGAACCAATAATTAGAAGGGTCTTGGGCAGAAATTAGAATTTCAAAAGTGGTTTTAGATACCTCCATCTACAGTATCCGTTTAGAGGTATATGCTAAGTAAGAAAAATATCTTAGCAACGATAGGTACGCTGAATTCCGCGTTTTATGGAGCCGATAAATTAGCTAAACTTCGTGTCACATAGTTAGACCTACAAAATTCTCGACCAACTTAGTTCTTCTACAATAAGAACATCTACTAAAAAGTGGAACTAGGTTTTAGATAACCCACTGAGGTTTAAATTGTTTTCAACCGATTACAGTCTTTTTTTATTTTAAACCGATTTATGACGTTTTCGTTTTCAACTGATTTATTTTTCGACCCATTTAATAGATTTTTATTTTCAACCGATTGTTTTTTTTTGTCTGTATTTTTAATATTGTTTTTTTATTTAACAACGAGTTTTTTATTTCAAATTAACGATCAATAAGTTTTCCATGGTTTATCGAACCTTATATTTTTAAGGTTTTGAAAATTGCGCCAAGGCTGATCAAATTTGGCGCGTAATCAAATCAACAACAAAATATACAAAATACATATCGGCGTAGTTATAAAACTAAAAATTCAATAGGTTGAATATTCAATAGGTTGAAAATTCAGTAGGTCAAAAATAGAGTAGGTCAACGATTTTGTAGGTTGAAAAATTAATAGTATATTTATTAATTAGGTGTAAATATAAAAATCAAAAACTGTCGGTTAAAAATCAAAAACGTCATTATCTACGATTTTTATTGAATTATATGCCAACCTAAAATTCTGCGCCACGCTTTTTGAAGTTTTATTTTGAAGAGGGTGGTAGTAACGTGTTTTGTCGCCTTGTTTTTTAGAACTTTATACTAAACATAGATATTAAAAACTACAATGGTTATACTTTATTAAGATGTGTCTTTTGATTACAATAACAAACTTTATGAATGGACTTTTTGACAACTTTCTAGTAGGTTGTGCATCTAACAAACTTTACGAATGGACTTTTTGACAACTTTCTAGTAGATTGTGCAACAAATATTGAAGATATTGACAGAAAACCTGAAACTTTTACACATTTTTTATGCATCTGCCAAATTTCATCAAAAAATATTTAGGTGCTGACATCCTATTTGGGGGCCCACTTTTGGTACCTAATTTACTTTTTCTAAAATCGTTTGCGGGCAGAAGAAAGAAGGAGGGAGTGGTGTGACAAAATAAAAATTCGTAACTTGAAATCATTATATTAAACTTTTTATTAATGTTATAATATTACTTTTTTAGATAAAATAAGTGAGTAGATTATTTGTTTGAGTATCAATATTTTAAATATTTTCGTTTAATTTATTTTTTAGTTACTTTTTATATCAATAGTATTAGTATTTCCTTAGTTGAACTAAGTCTTATGTAAAACTTAAAGATCTTGTTTTTTGTTATGAAAAAGAATAAAAAAGGTAGAATGACAATTATCTTTATTTTATAACTCGCTGTATATTTTATAGCAAAAATATACAGCGAGTAGTGGAGCTTGCAAAAATGTTCAGCAGGTTAGAGGAACTTGCAAAAACGTACAATTAGTAATGAAACTACTCAACTTTAGTTTGCGTTGTGTCTATTGTTAACAATAATTACTATTTAGTTTCATTAATGGAGTTTAATATCCTAAATTATCATTAACTAAATACTAGAACGCGAAAAAGTTAAAATAGTATTATATTAATATATAATATTAATTGTAAAATATAAAACATGTTTTATATTTTACAATTTATTTTTTAGGTCAGAGTGTGAATATTCGCTTCCTATGACAAAACATTGTATCTTAAAATTTATTAAAAGATGTTTTTATATTAAAATCTATTATTTTAATTAATAGCATTTTAAATCTTTTTTCTTACCTCATTAAAATAGAACTTTTTTTTTAGGTTGAAAAGGAGTGGGGGCAACCATAGGCCCCCGTCCTACCCACATCCCTTAAAACAACGAAAGGGCTGTTAATAATATTATAATGTAGTAAAAACTAATTTTTATTTTTTAAAACTAGATTTCCTTTTTATTAGAAAGATACAAATGTTTATTAAAAAAAGAGTCCTTTTTGATCTTAGGGTGTTTAAAATCATTAACCCTACATTAATCATTAGGCAATGATGAAACTTCTACAATTGACTGTGGCATGATAGCTAAAAACAACAAATTCCTGCATATAAAAAATAACTTTTTTATTTAAAAAAACACTCTTTTATAAATATAATAAGCATTAATTGCCGGTAATCTAGAAAACTTTATGCATTTGTAGTTAACTCTTACATCTATCTTTTGATACCAAAGTTTAAGAGTTTGGATTGATTAAGCTATAACAGTTTTAGTTAATGAAAACTTTATTTTGACCACACTTTATTTTGGCTACTTCAACAAATCCTAATATCAAAAAATCAGTACTTAAAACGTCATAACTTTTTTTTTTTTTATTGTTGTATTGGGGTTGTTTGATATTGATAATTTTCATTTTTGTATAATGAAATAAAGCTCTTTCTAATGGTATATAACAACCTAGAATTTGATCAATTTAAAAATTTTATGTAACATACCTAGCAATACTAATGTTTATTGAATGACAAAAACTGTGTACTACATTAATTAACAATGTTTCGTATAAATTGAAAATACTCTTCATAGCACATCATGCCAATATCTATAAATGCTGCAAACTCTTTAAGTTTGCAATCTTTTTTTACCATTTTAGAGAACTTGAAATTTACATTAGGCTCAAATATCGGAATCAATTTTTTGAGATTTTATTAATTGCTCTGCTGTTTTTAATAATTGCTCTTTTTAAAAATTGAAAGTTCATATATCTTTTAAAAATCTAATACTACTTATTGTCTAGAATCACACAATAATGTTTGTAAATTTTACATGGTCCGGTTTAATAACTCATCTAAAGATATTAGAAAAACAGGTGATAATAATACTTCTATACATAACGAATCAAGAAAGTTTAATGCTGAATTTTGTATTAAACCATGATAACATCATGTACAATATTACAAATTATATTCATAAATAATAACATTTTCTTTGACCTAGCTGAAACTTTTTTGCAATATTATTATCTAAAAACATTAGGATTTAAGATTAAAGTCGGAAATTGTTTCTCACTTTTAGGTTTTTATTTTTAGGTCGAAAAGTGAATTTGAACACTTTTTTCAATTAGCGGTTTTCTAGAATAGCGTTAACTACTCAATGTAGTTAAGGTACTTTTCGAGAAACTGCCGTCAGTTGATTATCAAGATATTTCTCACAATCGAGATATTTCCCTAAAATATCTGGTATGCAAGATAAACAATTAGATCGTTTAAAAGGGAAACAATAAAGATCTCACTGTGGTCTACAAGCAATCTTTTAAAATTTATTTAAAGTGTAATATACCTATCAAGACTTTATATATTATAATTTAATTGCGGTATATATTATGGAATATTAATTTATTTTTCCAGACCTGTAAAATCGCAAGTTCTTGAATGCTATTTTTAAGTTTATTTTTAAGTTAGGACTTTGCTCGGTGCTGGAATAATTGTAAAGTTGGAAAGACATTTAAATAATAGTAATATTCCGCAAAAAAGACATTTTACAAAAGTCTTAAGTTCTGGCATTTTATAAAAGTTCTGTATAAACAAATAAAAATCTTAAAATTTTTTTTTTTAAATCAAAAAAGAAATATCAGTTGTATTAAACAAAAGTTTTTTTTATTAATTTCATTTTATTTATAACCTAAGTTATAGACTGTCAATAAGGTTTTTTTAAACATTTTCAATTTAAGTTTTACTAATTCGCCTTAACTACGTTACGTAGTCAACGTCTTTTTATTTTCAACGCCACTTAAGTGGCGTCACGTATAGGTGCGACACCATTACTAGGGTTAACACCTTTTTTCGTTGACATTTTTTTCTTTTTCTTTTTTTTTAAGAAATCCACCAAGTTTGACAGGTTCATACCCACATTATTCTCAATTAAAGTGCTCTAAAGATTTTTTAAATAATTATTTTTTGAATCTGTTGTCCTTTTAAACCATTTTTTGAAAAAAAGTTTAATGTTAAACTAATATAACTTAACAAATACAAAATTTACGTTCAGCTTTTTTTAACTTAAACCAGGAGCATTAAAACATAAACTCTAAGATTTTTTTTAGTTTTTACATTTAATCTTATTGATTAAAGGTAAAAACTTTAATCTTTATAGATTGAAGGTAAAAACTTCAATCTTTATAGATTGAATGTAGATACTTGATTAATCTTTATAGATTGGGTTCAAAATAAAAATGGTAGAAAAATTAAAGCTTAGTATTGTACTTCATTGCTGAACCTACCAATTCAAGAATGGTTGAATTCTGCAACGGCAAAATAATACAGTTGCAGATTTTGACCTAAAAATTAATAGTTAAATACAACCAACGAATCATTATCCCGATGTCAAACTTACGCTAGAAAATTAAGGAAACTTAAAGCCAAATGAAAAAATTGATAAAAGAAACGCATTTTCAATCATCAACATATGGTCAAAAAAATCAAAGAAATGACATGTTACTTATGCAACTCTAAAGTGGGTTTAAGCTTCTTCAAAAGTCAATTTTAATTCGGAAAATTGTCAAAGATTTTACAATCCAAATATTTAAATAATGGTTACTGATTCCCAATTGTGGTCTCTTGTAACTGATGCCGAATTACTTAAGCTCTTACTACTCCAACTTTTGAGTGGAAGTTAGTAAAGAAGCTTATTGAATCCAACTTATAAGAAAAATGCTGTCAAGGAAAGCTACTTCAATCGGAAGTAGAAATTGAATCTGTCTTAATGACTGGTCTAAATTTCATTACGCTTGTTTTATTGTTTGTTAGCCATTTGATAAAAATATTTTTAATAACATTGAAACAACAACATTTTGGAATATGCTAGCGAGACAATGTAGTGTCAAAGAAGCTTTCAACAAATTTTAATTTAACATTAACTCGTTGACTTACTTCAACAACTCGTTGACTCACTTCATCATGTAATTAAAAAATTATGGACAAACTGATTGTAACTGTCGGAAACTTTTTTTAAGCACTACGCTTTTTTCTACAATAAACTTATGACAGCAAGAAATCCAACAGGACCGACGACGCCGGGGAGGGGCATGTGTCCCCCACTTTTTTTCTTAATATACATTTTTTAGAAATAGACAATTGTGCCCCTCCAATTCGAAACACGTGTCGTCGGCCATGTCTAAATGTTTAAAAAAGAAAGGTTTGAGTTACAAATTGACTTTTTAACAAGGTGGGTTTCTACCTCTACATGCTCCAGAAATTTTTACATATTTAGCTGATGCAGCTTTAAAAAATACTAAACATATTGTCTAAATATACAAATAAGAAATATTTGACTATGAATTTGCTTCTGAAATTTTAGCTCCATTCTTTGAAAATTAATAAAATTTAACCTTTTTGCTCAAAATGTCAAAAATTATTTCGGAATTTCAAAATAAAGCTGAACTAAATGAAGATTCTTTTTCTAAAATAATAACAGAAGTATTATGTGGTTTTATAGACTGATTATTGGTTTCCTAAAGCTTTGAATATTGGAAAACTTATGAAAAAATTGCTTCCAATAAAATCAAGGATTAAATGACGAGGAAAAAAAATACTTTACGTCTCCCTATCTTTAAAGAGTGTTATCAACTGTTATAAAGATATTATCAACGGAAAAAAACAGATTGCAAAAAGTTAGTGAAACTACTTTTTTGTTGAGAAAACTTTCCCGCTGTTGGGTTCTAAAATTAAAAACGATTTTTAAATATTATGACTTATTTTACTTAAAAAAAAACCTTTAAAAAAGGCTCTTTTTTGTCGACTTTTATACCGGTACCGGTTCCGGTTGTGATTTGAGTATATTTTCAATTTCGGTAAATAAATTTAAAAAATTACTTTTAACTCAGTTTAGTTTGGCGAACAGTGCAAGTTGATCACTAGTATAAAAAAAAAATTATAAAATTTGTTTTATTAAAAAAGAAACGAAACTAAGAATAAAATCAATTATTTCGCTCCTAAATCATTTAATGTGGTAAAAAAATGGTAGATGAAAATGTTCATCTTAAATACATTCTATTGAGTTTGAGTTTTTATTGTAATTACTGCATTTTTCATATATTGTAAAAGTAACATAATACACATTGTAAAAAAACAAGTTGTTTATTTCATAATTAATCTAAAGACCTCGAGAAAGTTGTCATACCAACAAATATTAAAAGTATCTAAAGAGTTAGATGTAAAAAAAACACTTTTTTGAAATAAATTGTTACCTGGTTAGCTTCTTCTTTATCAATCATCAGTTTAATTCCTATTGCCTTTCGGGTATCTAGGAAAACCTTTCTTTCGTTTGCTTCTTCGTTTAGGTGGTTTACAACACCTAAACAGCTTGAACCAAGTAAAAGTATTAAGTTTGCCAAAATCTGAAATATGTGAATAGTATCAAGACTTATATTAATACTTTTAAAACATTAAAAATTATTTTATACAAATACAAACTTGTAACTTTATTACAAACTGCTCAGCAAAATAAAACAAAACTTTTGAACATGATGACTTTGATTTTTTGTATTTCGGTAATTATATGCACAAGCTTGAAGTTGAAAAAATAAATGCCTTAAAAGCAACAGCAAATAAACCTACTAAAATATTTTCATAAGCACAAGCAGCATCTCTTCAGAAAAATAAAGTAAAACCAAAAGAAACTGATGTGGTAATGATGACTAAAATAAATAATGACTTTAATAACATAAAAGAAAATTGAAAACAACATTATTATAAGTGGAGTCGCTGATCAAACCAAAATGGACAAACAAATAAATTAAGAAAACGATAAACAAACCATTAAAACAATTCTTAAAGCAATTAAGCCTTACTTTTAAATAAAAAATGCAAAAAAAAAGAATGCGACAAACAAAAAATACCAAATAACCAGAAGGATGACCTGTCCTCGTCTTAATATTAAAAATAATATCAATTACAAAAATATTTTTACTAGCAAAGACAAAAGAGAAAATGAGAGATGGTTTGTTAGTAAACTCAGAAAAGTTCGAAACACTAGAAATACAGCAATTACTTACCAAATAACAAGGGAATAAATTGGAGGCAACGGTACAATGTGGATAAAGGAAAAAAATACTAATAATATTATGCTACATTAAATGAGCTCCAATGGCTTAAAATCAAACCTGAATAAATTATATAGAAAAAAAAAAAGAACCTCTCTAGGACCTTTTGCGCAATCTACACTAAACTTAAAATGTTTAGGGTATTTAAAATGTTCGATCCGCTATAAATAAATCTTCCATCACTCATGGTATAGCATAAAACCATTCGTTAGATATTTTTATTTAGACTAAAACTTGGATGAAGCCAGACAATCCTGCTGCAATTCAAGAAGATATGGTGCTACTAGGTTTCAAAACAATTCAACACTGCCAATCAGACCATCGTGGTGGAGACGTTGCAATGATATACCAAAACAACTTAAATAATAATTTCTTATCATTATCATCCATCTGCTTGTCATGTGAACGTACATGCTAAAATGAATTTAACGAATACTATTTACAATGTTATTGCTATTTATCAATCATACCCAATCATTCCAACTAGTATTTTCTTTTTGGAAATCTCTGATCTTCTAGAAAAAATTCAAACATTGTCTGAAGAAATGCTTCTGTTCGGTGGCTTAAACTGCCCGGGTACCCCCCAAGGACTACCGATTCAAGTCTTTTAATATTCTAGAGACTTAGAGCTTGATACAAGAGTTTAATCTTCAACTCACATATCATCAACTACTGGTATTGCAAATCTGCTTGATCTAGTAATAAACCGCCATGATGACATTTCACTCAACAATATTCTAGTATCAGACGAGGTATTTTGGACAGTTATTTGGTCCGGGTAACACTTCAACATTAAGTTTTAAAAATTAAAACTGTTTAGTTTTTGAAACAAAATTAAAAATACTAAACTTATTATGTTATATTGAAGAAATGAAAGTGATACTATGCTGTTTATTACTTGAAATTAATGTGAATGATTATGCTGAATAAATAACAACCTTTCTTGATAATTTAGTACTTATTCGAAAATATTCAATTAGACATAGCAAGCAAAATAGTAAATGGTTATCTTGAGATACAAAGATTAATCTCTACCAGTTTTCTACAACGACTGGAGCTTCGTTATAGAAAAATTTGTAATTTATTAGATAAAAAAATTTACAAATTTCATTTTATCTCCCCCTAAAGATATTTTTATAACATTTGGTACATTCACTTCCACTGATTTTTTGCATGTAATCAAAACTCTCAATCCAAGACACCGCCACTTGTTATTATTCCAAAAAAACATTTATAAATTATGTTAAGAATAATTTAACCCAAATATAGTTCACCTCGCTGACCTCTCATTCGAATCTGGGATTTTTCCAGTTTCATTCAAGGTTGCTCAAATTACACCAATTCCCAAATAATCAGGACAAAGAGTATTTGAACCCACTGATCGGCGTTCCATATCAAATCTCAATACAATATCTTATATAAGCATCCCATATCAAACCTCAATACAATATAATGCTCTTGTAAAGTTTGCTTTATCTCGACTTCTTCTACATTACTTCCGACGTAACTTCAACCGTAAACTTTAATCTATTTTAATCTGGTTTTAGGTCTAATCACTCAAATTACATCCTGTTAATCATTAATGATGTTTAACCACCCTTATCCTCTCTCTGGACTGCAGCATTTAATAAAATTGATCACAAACTACTAATTGCCCGTATAAAAGATAAACTCGGAGTCACAAAATTGCACTAAATTGGCTGAAATCATACATGCGCTCTTAAAAATCCTTTGTTTTGATTGTCTGCAGTTTTTATTTTGATTGTCAGCGAGTTCAACAGGAGTTTTTCAATGTTTGTTTCACCAGTATCTCGTAATGTAGCTAAACATGGAACAAATTATTATCAATATGCCGATGATACATAAACATATTAACCCAAGAAAAGATAGCATTAACAAAATCACTTAGTGTGCTAATGCAGTCATAAAATGGTTTTCAGAATATGGACTTCTGTTTAACCCAAACAAAACAAATGCTTTTTTATGTAGATCTAGGAAACAAACTGGAAAATTTAAAAATGATTCTAAAATTACTCTGAAATCATTCTAACTATAGTAAATTTGGTAAGAACCCCAGATGTCACCCTGGTTCAACACTCTCCTTAGATCAGCATAAACAACACTGTTAAATCCTGTAAATACAATATTTTTACTCTTCGCCACACTTGCCCAAGTCTAACCAACGAAGCAGGTAAGGCAATTGCTTGTGGCGTTGTTAACTCTTGCCCAGTGGGCATGTGTCGTCGAAGGAACGTCCGTCAGACAACTTACGGACGTCCGGACGCCAGTGATTAGTCCGACGGACGTCCCCCGGACATCGCGTGCCCGCTGGGTAACTTGATTATTGTAACTCTTTAATCAAATTATTAAAAATAATAATTTATAAAACTCCAATGCACTCAAAATAACTTATCTCGCATTGTTTCTTATTTTCCTTTCTACTTAAAATTAGAAAAATTACAAAACTCTTTTCATTGGTTACCAATTATCAAAGAATAGTTTATAAGATATCAGTTTTTACATATAAAACTTTATTAACCAAATCTCCTGCATATCTATTTGGACTTTTAGAAACACGTTGCTGATCAAAAATTTCCATAGGCTCAATGTCTTTCTCCATGACTGCACCTCACTGCAACGTCTTTCTCCATGAATGCACCTCGAATTCTCAGGTAAACTCAACCGCTTTAGAAACATTCAAAAAACAACTAAACTGTGGGCGCTTTCTTGAACTGATATTTAACTTTCTCAGTCCTTCTGAATTACTTCATCACTATTGTGATTGTCTTAAATGATGGCAATTTAATCTCGAATAATTATTATTATTACTTTTTTTTTACAAATATTTTTATAAAATAAAGAATTAAACTGATAGGGGCTCAAAGATGATGATGCTACGCTATTGTAATTTTTTCATAGAGCTCCCAGGTAATGCTATAATGTAATAAAATGTATTAATTATCATACAATATAATGTAGTAATTATATTAAAAAAACTACTAAACATAAAAGTACTGCGCTGAAAAAAGATAAATTGAACAGTTACGTATTGTATACTTTTGTTATCCAAAATGCAATATTTCGTATATTTATTAAATACTTGCAACTGTAATCTGCTTATTGAGAACTTTTTCTTAAAAAAAACTTCTATTTTCTGTAGTACACAATTTCATTGCTATATCTTTCCCGTACTATAAACATGTTATACCAAGGATTTACCTTAAATCAATTTAGTCTCTCACAAGGAGTGCAGCAATGTTCTATTCTATTCCCACATTTGTATAACATATATTATAATGCATCGTAATTAGAATAGTCAATTAGAGCCATCGTAATTGGAATAGTCAATTAAATTTTATAATCAAGTTGATCAATTAATAACCTTTTTTTTTAAAAGACACTAAATCCATCTTCTCAAAAATAGAGTTTTTTCAACGTTCGAATTCTTTATTAAAAAAAGATACAAATCAAACTAGGTAGTGTCAATAAAAAAATTGTTCATCATTTTAATTGAGGATTACGAAATTTTTGAATATCAATAATTTTGCAATCCTAAATAAAGATGGTTGTCGTTTTTTTTTTGTTTTTATTTCTCAAAACAGTAAAAATGTGACTTAGGGCCTTTTAGAAAAACATTCTTCAATTAAAAAATCGCCTATTTTTTTTTAAAAGCAATAAAACGCTCAAGCCATTCCACTTTTATAGAATGGCTAGAGCGTTTAGCTTCCATGTTTAGTATTATTTAAAATTTCCATGTTTCCATGTTTAGTATTATTTAAAACTTTTTTTTTTTAATTATATTTAAAATGAAAATTTAATATTAAATTTTATATAAACAGCAAAATATTACAAAAAAATCTTTTTTTATTAAAAACTATACTCAATTACGATAATTTTATATGATATAAAACTGTTTGGATCAGCCATTACAAGATGATCTACCACGGGCGTCATAAAAAATTGTGAGTTAGTTACTTTCATTTACAAGTTTATGGACTAGTTGCAACTTTTTGGATAACTTACACAGCGGCCAAAACGTTATATATAACGTTCTACGGCCTCTAAACCCACTGGATTAGTGTATGCACGATATTGTGCATAATAAAATAAGTTATTGTGCATAGTTAACGTGCATAGACATCCATATGGACGTCTATGCACGCTAAGAAAGCTATAAGTCTAAAATACTGTCAAATTAAAAATTTAAAAGTTAAATAAAATACAGCTTACTTGTAAATAGGAAGTTTTAAAACTGTTTTTTATACCAATAACCGCAACGTGAGAAAGTGCCACTAACAATGACAATGCCATACATTTGTACAATCGAAAAGGTGCAATGGAGTATGTTTTGTAAATAAAAAACATGTATACTATAACACCACTGCTTAATAAAATATCATCATCTTTATTTGATACTGCCAAATCTAATAAAATTTGAAGGTAAATAATGAACCATAAAACAATGCATAGGTATTTGCAGCAATATCTTTTGGAATTGCGATAGATGACGTAGATAGCCAGACAAACACAGGAAAAAAAGATGCTGCAACCAATTATTATTAGACGAATTATTATTTTGGAAGTTTTTTCCTTAGTAAAATCCACTACAGAAACCAAAATATAAGCAAAGTTATAAGTCATATAAATTAGTAAAACAAAAAAAACAATGTATTTTCTTCGTTCAGAAATGTAGTTCCGATAAATATTTTCCAATTCTTTGCTTGAAAATGTCGAGTTAAGAAAACTCAAACATCTTTTGGGAGGAAGAGTCATTTTTTGAGTATTTACATCTGACGGATAAATTTGCATGACGTGTCAGCCAAAGCTTTGAATTTCTAAAGATAATGATTCAAAATATCTTCTAGTTTTAATAGATAGCAAGTTCCTAAGTCAAAAATTAAATTTTGCCGAAAAAATACATGATATTCTTTTTTACATTTATTTGTTTATTTATTATTTACGTGACAGGTGCAGAATAATAAATAAATTCAAAGTGTTATTAATGGTGGCAGTCATAACAAAATATTTTATGAATGCAGATTTTAATACAAAAGATGCGAATGTTTAAAAAAATTTTGCTTTTAAGTTTAATTGTTTCTAAAAAAGTAATAGTTTTATTGTTTACTTAAGAAAATTCTTTTTTAATTATTAATTGCGTTTAGGTTTTTTATAGTACAAGTATTAACTTGGGTAATAATATACGTCACATTGCGACTTTATTTTCATTTTCAAAGGGTAAAATATACGTCAAGTCAATAAAATATACATCTCACTCGATTACTATGCTATTAAATGTCACTGTTGAATGGCAATAGTAAAGTAGTTGAGTCAAAAATTGTTTATTTTTCTTGTTGACAACATTAATACAAATAAATAATTAATTGTTTGCGTGCTTATACGTTGTGAGTTTTTGAAATTTAGTATATTAATCTGACACTAGATAAAAAATTAACTATAAAGAGAATAATTTGGATTTTTTTTTTTTTTTTTTAATTTAAAAAAGAATTTTTAATCGAAAATTGTTTAACTGTTATCTTAATAAGAATAACAAATATTTTTTTCTGAAAAGTTTGTCAAAAGTCTTTAAGGACTTTTTTGAATCGTAGTAATTTTAAAGATTTCAAATTTGGAGATTACCATACTTTATTTGTATAAAATCTAGAATGGTTTGGCTTGTAAATTGTAGTTTACAGAATTTAATTAGATAAAACAAAATGTTATTTTTTTAAATGTTGTTTTCGTGCCAATTATTATAGTGGATAGTTCTTTTTATTAAAATAAGTTTCAAATATTTTTCACTTATATTTAAAATAAGTTTTAATTATTTTTTGCTTGTATATAAAATAAGTTTCAATTATTTTTCACTTGTATATAAAATAAATTTCAATTATTTTTCACTTGTATATAAAATAAATTTGAATTATTTTTCACTTGTATACAAAATAAGTTTCAATTCTTTTTAACTTTTATATAAAAAAAGTTTTAATTATTTTTCACTATAAAATAAGTTTCAATTTTTTTTCACTTGTACATAAAAAAAGTTTCAATTACTTTTTAATTGTATATAAAATAAGTTTCAATTATTTTTTACTTGTATAAAAAATAAGTTTCAATTTTTTTTTACTTGTACATAAAAAAAGTTTCAATTACTTTTTAATTGTATATAAAATAAGTTTCAATTATTTTTTACTTGTATAAAAAATAAGTTTCAATTTTTTTCATTTGTATATAAAATAAGTTTCAATTACTTTTTGTATTGAAAAATAGTTATTACATTATAGTAAAAGTTATTACGCAATCGCGAATCGATCAAACGTAAGGTAATTGTCTTTGGTCTCATAAAGAATGCTCTTATCTAACAGAAAATGAATTTATTTTTTGAACCAGATTGTTCTGTTAACTTAAAATGACTTTGTGATGAATGTAAAGATAATGATAATAATAAATAAAATCACAAAGAATCTAAACAATGGCAATATGGATAACAACAACAACAAAATGTTAATGTGTTTACTAAAACAAAATATAAAACTAAATAATGAAATAAAATCTTTTTAGTACTGAATACTAAATTATAGTGCCAAGTCAACCAACAGGTCATTAAAAGCCTAGTAGAATCAGGTAACATCAAACTTTCATATCTTCCAGTTAATAAAAAAATACTAAAGGTACAGATTACCTTGAATAATGATGAAGGGTTGTTATTAAAATTAAAAAATATATATTTGTATTGAAATGGTTATTAGACAAAGTCTTTCAAATGAAAAGTGTGATCTAACATGTCATATATAATGTAAAAAATAAACAATTCAAATGTGGTGTTCATAAGATTATGAAAAAACTCAATAAGAAGCTCAGAAGATGTCTATTGAAATAATGAACTTGAATATTAATAAAAATAATGCAAATGAAAGTATTGAAGAAAAAGATATCCTTTAACATGTATCTGATGATGCCCAAAACATCGTGAAGAGAAAATTCTTTTGAAACAAAACTATTTAATTATAATTTTTGATATAAGTCAAAAAAACAAAAATTACATTAAGGAGAAAAGAACTTTCAAGTTACATTACATATTCGTAATCATATAAATATCATTATTTGTTACATGATGAACCTACCTGTAAATATTTTGCAAGAAATCATGAATCTTATTACTATGAGTATCAAAACAAGTTATGCCTTCGTTGCGATTGGTTTTTTAAAGAAAACAACACTAATCATTTGTGTGATCACTTTGTACATGGATGTCCGATATTTAATGAAATAATAGAGAAAGTCAAGAACTCAATAGCAACCAAACTTACCTAAAGAATTTGTGTGTTGTTAAATATTTAATGAAGTAAGAGAGAAAGTTAATCCAAGGATTCAATAACAACCACACCTTTCTAGAGAATTTAAGTTTTTGTTAAATATTTGATGGTCTTACTGAGTTGAAACTAAAAACCTGAAGTTATTGGTTTGACTGAAATACACGTGACTGACACACTTTTAAAATTGAAATTAAAGTTAAGCATTACATCTCTAAAAGTGCATTCTAGTACGCATAATAAAGAATGTAAACTTCTGATAAGAGAATGTATTAAAACTTTGAACAAATTTAGGTAGAAATAAAGAAAAAAAGATTATAAGTGCTTTCCTTTGATATAGCTTTATAAAGCGAAGTTAAATATCTGTATCTATATCTGTATATATATCTATATATGTAAGTTGTGTATATAAATCACTGTCAAAAAACAATAAAGTTGAATTTATAAACGTTTATGAGAACTGAATGAACGCTATTGAAAAAAAAGGCATCATAGTTATGGATAGTTTTGAGCTTTTTTTTGTTGTTTTTTTTTGTTATTTAGGTGCCCCAAGAAGACCCGACGGCCTTGTCACAGAACGCCGCGTAAGTCCATTAAACCAGGAAGTTCACGCCTCCTTCCTTACCATGATGCGAAAATATGTCTAAAGCTCGTTTCAAAACTGGATTTCCTGCTTATAATGCAAGCGTTTTAACCACTGCGCCACGGCCGCAAAGAACAAAAAGGTTTAATATTGATCCGCTAGATCTGCTGAAAAATGTTTGAAATTCGCTTCCTGTCTGTAAGTTAGTTATCTGGAAGATCAAAAAATGTTGGATCCCTGTTTTTGGATCCGACCCTGTTTTTGATTATAAATTTCTGATACTCTTTTTTTCCGCAACTAAAAATTGTTTTTCTTGTCTGCAAGATATAGGTATTGCTTACCGCAACAAAAAATATTTGTTACCAGGAAAATGGCTAAAGTCGCATTTTACGTAAGTCTTGTTGCCCATCAAAATGTAGCCATTTAATTTTGTCAAATTATGGGTGTAAAGTTTTTGTGATTGCGTTTTTGCTGTAGATTTTTGTTTGTCAGAACAACCGGGGTATTTAATTGTTTAAAAAGACTTGTAATTGCTGTATTTTTTCACTTTCCTTACCAAAAAAAAACTTTGTATTTTTAAGATCTTTCTTTATTAGACAAGCCTAAACTTCTTTCAATACAACAACGAATCTTATTTATAAATAATTTAGTGTTAAAAAAATTGTTTTTTTTTTGATGTTTAAACTCGTTCAATTGGTAAAGTCTTCTTACACCTTTTTATAATCCTTCCAACAGTAGATATAGGAGTTCCAGTAGCTTTTGAGACTCGTATGTAGTTCCATGAAAGAATTTTTTTTTTATTCCTTCCTTTAAATGGGGTAGAATATTTTTAATTTTTTCTTTGTTTATTTAGCATGTCATATTTTCATTTTGTTTTTAATTCAGTTTTTTATTTTTATTTCAGTTTTTCTTTAATTTTTATATCTTTAATTTTTAGATTTATGAAAGCAAAAGTTTTAAAGACCTTCAGAATGTCATAAGATAAGGTCACTATATATATTTGTTATTTTTTTCTTTTTAACATTTTTTTATTTTTATATATTTTTTTATTTTTTAAATTTAATAGTTTTTTATATTCAAATATTTAACTTTTGTTCTATTATAATACTTTCAAGTCCATCCCCTATGGTCATATACATCCGCTATGGTCATATACATACCCACTTTGACCTTGTATGTTGTTTTTATTATACTCTCTTGCTATTCCTAAGTCTCTTTTGTATACTCTGTTTCTTGCCATATGTCTTTCAGTTTTTTTCTGATCGTACTCCGCTTTTCTATATGCCTTATATTTTAGTAATTCCCCTGCTGTGTATTTGGTCTTATCAAAACCATGAAAAAGATTCAGGTTGTATATACGCTTTTACGAGTAATTTAGTTTACAAAATTCAAAAGGAAGTTCTATTACTGATAAAAGGTTTACTTCATGAATATGTAAGGTTTACTTCATGAATGTGTAAGTTATAATTTGAATTCCCTTTTTTTATGTTTTTTGATTGCTACTATTGTTGTTTGAATTAAATATTAATATATATATATATATATATTTTTTGAGATATTTTTGATTGAGGTTCTAATTTTTTTCAATCTTATGCTTTAAAAAAAGTTCAAACAGAAACCATTCCAAATAACATTAAATTTTTTTACAATAAATGAATAGCGATCCAAGTTTGGTGACAACAAGTAAAAAAAACCGAAAAGTGGAGCAAATTTAAAACTATGAGCAAATTTAAAGTTAACAAAGAAAATTGCCTTTAACAAAATAGAGTTTGTAAAAAATGAAGAAATTTTCAAACCTATTGATAAAACTAAAATCGAGTATTACAAAATTAAAATCATACGTTTATAGATGACAGTGTTGCTATGAGGAAGACATTATAGATGACAGTGTTGCTATGAGGAAGACATTATAGATGACAGTGTTGCTATGAGGAAGACATTA